GATATAAGTAGACAACACCACAGATGTACCTGCATCTCAGAGTTGATGTTCACTCTGGGACTCGAACCCAGTACCCTCGCCTCAAACGCCATCACGTTATCCACTCGGCCACTGAGTCCTGATATGCCAATTAAAGACTGACCAGTTGCAGTCCTAACAAAATCGATGGGAAGATTCAAACAAACAATACCAAATGAATTTAAAAATGGTCATTGTACAAATTGTATTGAATTGATGAAAAGTGCAAATAGTAAGAAAACTAATTACAAAAAGAAAAAAAACAGAGGCGTAACCAAAAGTGGTTTCATAAAAAGCAACCTATCCAATGGAATATAGATTATGTTTTATCATCGGAGTACGAGATCGTCTATTTGACATATTTTACTATATTGCATATCGTTTCAATTGGAAGTACTAGGTGAAAGTGATCTAGGTCAGGTGTACTATTCAATGAGGAATCACACAGTATCTCAGAATGTTCGGAAAATTTTCTTATTGAAAATATTACATCTCGGATGAAGACGCTGAAGGGTGACATAGATTACAATTCTCTTCATAATAATGAAGGATGAAAAATGAGTTTCTATAGACTATCGTCAATGTGAGGGATATAAGCTTACACAGAGTGTTCACAATAACTGATAGAAATAGTCAGTGAGATCTATCAAGAATCTCCAGAAAACAGAATATTCGAAAATATCTTCCCCTGTGATGATGTTCAGGTTGATTTTTGCTGCCTACAACAAAAGTCGAAGCATTATTGATGTTGGAGATAAAGCGGTGTCAACAGGAGCTGCACTAATTCCACAACCCTAATCATATGATCTAAAAGTAGTATATTACAGCAGGAAGTATTCTACCGGTGATTTCAGTTTAAACATTCCCTATAAAATTTACATAAATGAAACAGAATAGTCAATACTAGATTTGGAATTTTCGGGAAGGCTGAAAGTGTATTTTTCCTCTGCGATTTTCTGTCTATATCATTTGTGCAAATATTACAATTATGACCTCTCTCTTACTCACCATCATTGTTTTCGTTATACTTAGCTTGATGAGAACAACTATTCCGCCTATTATTCGGAATATCATGTTAGCTTTTTTGCTCTATATTTCGATGACTACTGTGATGATGAACGTTTCATATATTGTGTTAAAGGTTATGGTGACTGTTTCACTATATGTTGTGACGATCATCATGTCTGCAATTAGCTATCTAGTATTTTAATTATCAAGATGAGCGTCATAATAATTAGGGTAATAGTTATCACAATAGGGTATCAAGCATGTGATTCTTATCTTGTACAAATGTGATTTGACATTGTATGATATAATTTTAAAACGATCCACATTTGTGTTTTCATTGTGTTAATTGGTAGATAGTGAATGTGGGCAGCATAGGGCGTACTTGTAAAAGTCTCAACACTGGGTAGGGTCAGTGAAATGTACGAGTTGTTCGGTTATGTAGCTGTGGTAATTGTACTAACCAATGATTCCTTCGTACGTGATTGCTCTCTGATTATGAATTGCGAATATAATACGTTCAGTTGTGCTCACTTTGTTCTGACTGCCTTAAATAGGACTGTTTCGGAATTTCCTCTTCAGCACACTAATTCGAATACTTCTAATTATAATACTGACGTTGCGATTGATCCAATTCTCAAACTGTTGGATATTAATTCAAGTGCGGATAGGTTTCAAGACCACATGGAGCTATATGAATTCTGGTGCATGAACGGAAAAGATATTAACAATGATGGATTCACAGCTTATTTGCTGGTTGTCACCATCAAAGAAACTTAGAGCCTGCTCAAGCATACGACTTTTCCACAAAAACCAATTTCATTGTCATGTGAATCTCTCAAGGAATCACTACTTAGTCATGTGCAATGTGCTAGCTTTTAATGCAGAGACAAATAGAAGTTTCATAACATAATACGACAAAGTGATCAGAAAGTTGAAGACCTTACGCTTGAACTACAGAAACAGTACTGGAAGTGCAATTTTGAAGGACAATTAGAAACTCGATTTCATGATCGGTTGATTGCTAATATAAATATTCTGAATTTACAAAGACAATTAATTCACAAACATAGACGTTCATTTCGAGGAATTAAAATAGTATGTAGTAACTATGGTGCAGTGAAAGAGCTTGATTTCCAGTCAGTGAACATTTCCAAAACTTTGCTTACTCGTCGTGAAGAACTACATTCCGAATGTGGCTCAATCTCGCGTTTGTTTAATAATGGTTCCGATTTACGTGGAAAAATGTGAAGTAGGGCTGTGAATACTGGACTAGGAAGATGTGAAAAGGCCTAAAGTGGAGTTGTTTTCATTACTTTCTAAAGAAGACTCTGATGTTTCAGTTAAAGGTTTGATAGTTGCGTGTGCTTAGTGCAGTGTAGGGATGAGAATTCAGCCTACAAAACCTACAGTACAGGATGATCCAGTCTTTCTCAAGAGACTAATGATTCCTTATGGTTTTCCAAAAGAACACTTTATAAGACGTTCAACGATTTGTGTGAGAAACGTATAATTGGACCGATTCATTCTTCTATATGTGGTACTCTTATTGTTACGTCCTTGAATTCTGATGGCAACACCCGTAGAATTTGTGGTGACTACAGATGAACAATGAACTACTGCTTATTAAAGCAAACATGCAGGATGGGGGAATCTTTAGGTATTCCTAATTGAATTCATAGTTCTAAAGTGTTCGTGAAAGTTGACTTTAAAGACGCTTATCTTCAAATCACCTAGATCAATCTTCATCTATTTTGCCAGCTATTAACACTCCTTCTGTTCTGTTCAAATAGAGCTTTCTTTATTTGGCCTAAGTTGTTCTCTAGTCATATTTCAGGAAGTGATGAATAAGAAAGTCAGTGATCTTAAACGTGTTGCAGTTTATCAAGATGATCTTATTATTCATGGTTCTGATAAACTGGCCAATTCATGATCAGAGACTTATAGCTTTATTGCGTCGTTTACTTGAGAAGAATATGACGGTGAATCGAAGTAAGTGTTCATTTTGTGTTTCTAGTTTTGAATGTCTTGGATACCTAGTTGACGGTATACGTTTTACTATAGATATACAAAGACTAAGTTCGCTGACAAATGCACCATCTCAGAAAAACTTACAGAACTACGTCCACTGGTGGGTGCTCTTCAATATTATTTCCGTTTTATCCCCAATTTTTCTTATCCTGCTAATTGTTTTTTTTTCAAATTTTGACATTCAATTCATTTAAATGGGGTGAGGAACAAGAGTCATGCTCTCGAGATCTACTAAAGCTTCTTTCGAATGATTCTGTTCTTTGAACTTACACTCTGAATGTACATCCTGTACTTCATACTGATACATCAACAGTGAGTATTGGTGGAGTTATGAAACAAGAAGGCATAACAGTTATCCGTGTTTCACGCAAACTTACTGTTGCTGAACAAGGATATTCACAAACGCTGTGAGAATCATTAGCTGTGTTTTTCGCTGTCATTAACATTTATTTCGAGAGACGTTCACTATTGATACAGATCATGAAACATTCAAGTTAGTTCTTCATCCTGAAAAATCATTTGCACATTCCTCAGCTACTATGGTTCAACGATGGAGTATTGGCTTGAGTGCCTATGACTATACGATTCAGTAGAGAAGTGACAACACACACTCAACATTTTGGTTGAACATCTTCACAGTGATTACAGATATATATCGTAGAGAAAACAATTGTGGAAAATGTTATAAGTCGGAGAGTCGAATATAATGCATTTGTTTGTGCTCATTTAGTTCTACCTGTCTTGAATTGTACTATTTCAGGAATTGCTAGGGAGTGCATAAAATTGAATACTTATGATCAACATATATATAGGCAGTTTGTAGTTCATTCAAAAAAGGTTTTAGATTTCAATGTTGCAATATGATCAACTGCATTCTTGGTATTAGTAATTAATGGTTACAAATCGCCTATACAAGGATGTTGTGAATTCCTTGTAACACATTGCTAAAGCAAACCAGTACCATAGTTGAAGTTGGAGATATTCTTAATTCACTTACTAGTACTTAAGTGTTGTCCAAAGTTGGTTGAAAACATAATTATCTCCACATCCGGTTACTCTAGGCGATACAGTTCGGTCAGTTACAACGTAGGACCAGGCACATATATGCATCGGTCTAAGTTGCCATACCTCGTTAGCACAACAAGATGAACACCAAATTCATAGAAGTAGTTAGTTCAATATTAGTAATATATGAAAGAAAGATAGTATATAACGATATGGTACAGGAAGAAAGAAAGATATCAAGCAATTTTAATCTCACGGGTTAAGGGCAGACAGGGAGTATATACACCTACGCCATTGTGATCGATTCTGAGCCATGTTACTCAGAGTTTCCAACCACTGGTTGACTATACAGTTGAAATGCGAAGGTCCATATTCAAAGTTAAGTCAATTGTGTGATGTTGTGTGACCATTATATTTTGTTTTTAGTGATATCTATCTAACTCCTAATAAAGTTCGACTCCACCAATGATCACAACTCATCACACAAGACTTTAGAGATCTATTTCAAAGATGGTCACTAATGAGAACACTATTAGTACTAGTATTATTATGATCAGAGGAGAGTTATGATGAACTTTCGACCTATAAACTTCTGTTTCATCAAATCCAACCCAGTTTCCATCGTATCTGCATATGTAAAGTCGGTTTGTGATCATGAAAGACTAATAATCGAAAAAGTAGTGAAAATCAATTCATCCCATACTCATACAATTTTTTCGAGATAATCACTAACAAAAGAGTTTATTTTATTCATCGGTTAAATTAACAACATGAAACAAAACAAAAGAATTGAGGATAAAAACTATCGAATACATCATCACAGATAATGGTTACAGGGATAATTGAAAGACAAGTACTACAGTTCTATTGTATAGAAATCAATCTGACCACTCTGCAGGCAACACATAATTTTCACAGGATCTTTATTGAAAGTGACCAACTTCTTAATCTGCTCACCAGTTGGATAAATTTTGATCTGATCCAATAGACAGAATAAAACAAATACATCAAAATGTTCAAAAATCAATTGAAATGACAAATCACTAGTTGTGTCATAGTGTGTCTCATTTTTCTATTATAAAAATCACTTAAAACAAACAAAGAAATCGGCATTCTACAATATGTTGCACTATCGCACACACACATATACATTGAAAAAAATACAACCTAGTACTTCTAGAATGATAAGTGGGCAGATTTTTATGGAATTTTGGAATCACAAACACCAAGTGTTAAATACTTATGCATCGAATCAAACTTTGAATGTTTTTTTTTCTTTTTACTGAGAATCGATCACGAGAATAATAAGAGTAGGCGGTAAAACGAAAGATGAATGCATTAGAATAGATCACTACACAACACATTAGCAATATCGACAAGCAACTGACAGAGAGTTAAATCAGTGGAAGTCGTGTTTCATCGTTAATATTGTTACATGTCTAAATGATTCATTCTGACTTTTGAATAGATGACTTATTCTATTATTTTCTATCATTATGTCACTTATACTTGTGACCTTTAGTATATTAATCAAAGTTCAAATTAAGCACAAATCTAAACGCTTATGTTATAGTGGAATTTACCTGAGATTAATCAAACTAAATGAGATGTACATACTATCATTTCCATCAAATTGTATGACATCGATTTTGGTTTACAGTAAATTGTTTACACATCCTTCTTCCGTCTCTACAATTCCACTATTCAAGTCATCATTACGATTCATTCAAGAGAACACTTGACATTCACAGAAGCATACTAGAAAAGGAATAACATGGGCTATAGGTCTTCTGTTCTAACTACACAAATCTAAAATCTAAATCACATTTGAAGTACTGACAATTCATTTTCAGTATTGACGAACCATTACAATTTCGATACAGATTAATGAATTGTTGGTGATAAATTACATGAATGCAAATATGTCTTGGTGGCCAATACCATCTGTAATGAGACTTCATGCTTCAGTTTCACTTTGTACTGATGTATTCTAATTGAAAATGATCTTTTTTACAACTAAACATACCTGACAATATTTCCATGGTTATGACATTTAATAGTGTTGTAGTCTGAACACCAATTCATTCATTATTTACACAGCTAGTTCCTGACTAACTTATATATGAATGGAGAGAGATGAAACAGATTTTGTAGGTATATTCATTCTCAACAATCTGATAATGGTGTTTATAAATGATGGATATTCTGTCGATAACCAAACTGATTCAGACAACATTATGTAGGTGACCAATCTAATTAAACTATCAAATTCATGGGATATTTTACAATGAGTTTAATTGAATTCTTACTGGCAATTACTTTTAATGATACAATATCTTATCATGCTTACGTGTGTTATTCTGAATTTTGAACAGATTAGTTACTCTAACCTTTTCAATTATTTTGTATAACGTCATCATTTAGGGTTTTCATCACTAGCTGACATAACTTAAAATGCGAAAACGATATTTAACCGAATGGATGAATGAATTTCGCGCGAAAATTCGAGAGTTTCTATCTTAAATCTGATTGGTTCATCCATAAATCATGGTGTCTCCGCTTTTGAATCTACCGTTTGATTGAAATATTCATATTGCAACATGAAACATACAATAGAAATAAGGATAATAATTATTCATTTCTTACCTGTTCCCATTTGCTTGATTCTGATTCATCAGAATCATTGATAGAACATTTAAACAGACGTAAAAAACTGTCCGACGTTGCCAACAATAAATACACTATTAAAGTTTTATTGGCGAAATGAGTTGAAGTGATACAGTAAGCAGTGACTTGTAAATCCGTTCCTTCCAGCTAAGGATAAACACAGTTACAATGTGATTGTTTATGGCCAGTGAAATATAAAATAAAAAAATTCAAAATACTTTTAAATAAACGTTTCCCCAGGTAACAAATGCACTTGGTGTAACATTCAGAAACTAAAGAGAACTAAATAGCTTAATTCTTTGGTTGACGACTGACTTACTGGTGGAAAGCATCAATGGTTGCTCCAGAAACTGAATTCAAGAATTTAAAAGGTTTCTGGAGAGTCTATTATCAAATTCGACCATGGATTCTTTATATGTATAACGTTGTAGAGATTGTGAAATCCATTGAACTCATGAGCCGATCTAAATTGGATGGCCACTGAAGATCTGAACGTACGGGATGTCCATTTCTTCTGATTTCGGAACTCCTTAAAAGTGCAGATCTAGGAAATTAACACTAAGGTCTAGACGTCAAGAGTTCATGAGTGAGACAGAACGTTGTGGATCTGACTCCCGCATGAACAGTTGTGGATGTGCACTGTTGAGGAGTCCCATATTAGGACGAAACGGTTGTCTAGTGCTTCCAAGTTTTTAATAGTTGTCTAACTTAGATCAATTCATGATCCCAATGCAATTCAACAATCTACACAACCCTATACATCCACAGATAAATAACATAAACAATTCACTTGTTGTTGTTTACTTGAATCTTCCCATTGTTATTTAGGACTGCAATTGATCCGTCTCTTGTTGGCGTATGTGCATTCTGTGCAGACTGTCAACAAGAGACGGGTCAATTGCAGTCCTAAATAACAATGGGAAGATACAAGCAAACAACACTAAATCAATTTAAACTTCACCCCATCGCACAAGCAAGTGGCTATCAGGACTCAGTAACTAAGTAGATAACGCGATGGCGTTTGAAGCGGAGGTACTGGGTTCGAGTCCCAGAATGAACATCAACTCTCAGATGCAAGCACATCCAGCTGATGAGTCCCAAATAAGACGAAACGCGCATCCTGGATTCCACCGCTAGTCACTATACATCTTTGCTCATAACATAAACAATGTTCAGAATAAAATAATCAAATATAAAATCTATTTCTAACACCATTAACACAAATAAACCGAACCCTTTCACAATCAAAAAAACTATCAGGTTATGTACACATCTAAACATTCATTCAAATACTGTAATAGCATGATATTAACCTGATCAAACGTGTTTTAATTGTAGTAAAAAAACAAAACAAATATTACTTGGAAATGAATCAATCGATTTAGAATGTATAACACTAATTGTTTACATTTAGAAATATAAAGAATCCACTTTAATTTCTATGTTCAAACAAGAAAATGAGAAGTCATAGTAACTATGGGGAAAAGAAAAAAAAATTTTTTTTTCTTTTTTTCTACATTTATGTATAAATAATTGTAACTAACCGAAATATTCAATAACATATGCTCATTATTATTAAAGAAAATAATCCGTGGTTCAGATTCTAATTTGCTTGTTACAATATAAAGTCTAAATGAATAGAAAAAAAAAAAAAAAGATCAGTTTACTAAGTGTAAAACATAAAATTTAATTGGAATTTGAAAGTTTAGTCACCTTTCTCTCTCTCTCTTTTTTATCTAAATATAAACAAAGAAAAAATTGGTTGAGTTTTACACATTCTACACAAATGTCTATTTCATTCATCTGATAATTATTGTATGTTCATAGATAATAGATAAAGTGTATAGCTATTACACAATGTTTTATATAGTTAAGATCATGAGTCAGTTGAAGCTAGACCACCATGGAAAACCTGGAAGCACTGGACGTCCGTTTCGTCTTATTGTGGAACTCCTCAGCAGTGCGCATCCACGATCCCGCCTCACAGGATTCAAACCCAGGACCTACCAGTCTCTCGCCAGAGCACTTAACCGATAGACAACTGAGTCGGCATCGAGCGGTCTTAATGTATTACCTCAACCAATCCATGAAATTTCGCGACCAACTTCCATTGTACTGAGGTGGATACCTGTCTCTACCTGACATGGATTAGCTCCACTGGCTAAGACTTTTCACTAGAACTCCAGGAATTAACTAATGGAGCCAGTCACTAGTGAGAATATGATCATTATCATAAGGGCTTTTTGTGGAGATTTTAGTAATTTTATATAGTTAAGATCATGAGTCCAGTGCTTCCAGGTTTTCCATGGTGGTTTACCTTCAACTGACTCATGATCTTAACTATATAAAATTACTAAAATCTCCACAAAACCCCCTTTGTGATATTACACAATGTATTAACGAACAACCACTGCAAGACATATTGAGGATACTGAATAGTATATATTATCATAAACAGTAGACTATAAATACGGTACTTCAACTTAGTCTCAGTAATTGAAGAAATGGATAAACACGCAAATATTGACGTTATGTTACGTCTGTTACACGTAACCTCTTTTAGATATTTGATGAAAAAAAAACGAAACTTTAGTTAACTAGTCTAGGTTAATTACATTTGTAAGTTTATGAAAATTGTTATATGTACACCACCATTTTTTGAATAATAACATCTTAAGTGATTAGTCGATAGAAACTGATGAGAACTGAAGAATGATTCAATGTATACGACATTAGTCACTAATCAGTAACCAATGAATTGGAAGTATAGGAGGTCAGTCGCGACTCGGATAGCTCAGTGTTAACGTCATGGACTGTGAAGCTGTGTGACAGAGGATCGAATCAATCAGGAAGCACTGTTTCCTTTAAGATTGAATGTACACACTGGTGTCCGAATAGAATGAAACCTAGACCCAAGGTTTCCTGTAGGCTCAGCTTTTTGAACTTACGATTAGGCATAACTTTTCTATAAAGTTTTAAGCATCATAACTAGCTATTTTCTTATATAACGGCTGAATAAAAAGATTTACTGTTTCTTCCTGCAACACTACACTAATACAATAAGACGACCGATGAACGAGATTTTGCTACCACTAATCTGGATACTCGATCGATAAGTTATATATTGACTGGACCTCCTTATAACAGATACAAATCACGATCAATAATGCAAAATCGGAATATATTCTAGGTAGCACTATATTCAACACAATGACAAGCAATCGCACTCAGTTAGTCCAAAGTAGAAATCAATAATAGGAAAGAAATCAAAAATTAAGTAGTCAATAAGATGAGCATCTGTATGTCCACCCTCAATGGTCAGTCACATCTATCTTCACTATCCACCGATACCAGAACGAGACGGCCGTTCGGTGCTTCCAGGTTTTCAATAGTTGTCTAACTTAGATCGGTTCATGATTTTAATGGAAATGAAATGAAAAATATTTCTATTCATTTATTTCACATTCTTTCTTCTTCTAGATATACTACTGTATAAAATGCAACAACTTGTTAAAGGTACTCTACATCGTTTATTATCCTACATCAGTGTATAAATAAGTTTTCGTAGATGTTCAAAACAATAGTGTAAAGATATTTTTGTAAGAACAAAATGACACTTACAACTTGAAACTATTTCCATTAGGTAAACAAAGTGGTTCAATTCTGTCAATATGGATATTTTCCAAATTATTGATGGATCCCGGAAGTGGTGTGAATACATGTGTCTAAAATGTTTACACGTAAGTATACATGATAATTATACTTATGCCAATAACAATTCTAATATATTGGAAAAAAAGATGCTCGGTATCCAGTTCAAATTCTATTCAAAGCATTATCATATATGCGTATGATCTCTGTATATTTTCGTTATATCCTAGCGAGGATATAAGTACGGGTAACTTCCGGGACCTATTAAAGAACTATTATTCTATATATTCTTATGGTTTAACTATTGAGTAATTAGATTGTGTATATCTATATTCATCTTATTATAAGCTTCATTTTGACCTATAAATTATTATTATACGATTTACTGTCCCTAAATTATAATCAGTTTGTTGATTACTGTTTCCCATATTCACAGCCACATTTGGCTTGATCTTGTACAAATATTATTTTCTATTTGATGGTATGATGCGGTCTGTCTGTCCGGTATATAAACCGAGTGTACATGAAATAAATGATTCGCACAGCAGAAGCTGTAATTGGTGTTTTGGACTCAATTGGAAGGGCTAGGGGGACAAGGGACCAATAAGGACGCTAGACTGTTCATACTGGTCGAACGTCATTGATTTGGTGCAGTGTTAAGACTGGAAAAGTCGAAATTCAATAGATGAATAAATCACGTGATAAAAGTCGAACATAAAATCATAACAATTTTCATGTTTATCATTGCGTTAAAAATACAACATAGTAATTAAATCTCTCAGAAACAAATCAATACCCTTGTTAAAGTCAACTCTGAATACATACACGAATTTCTATGTATTTGTTGGATATACATTTTGGTGTATGTTCACTAAGCCTTATTCTTGACAAGATGCAAAATCTTAAACATCTGACTATCAATCAGAGCTATTGATGAATGAAGAAAATAAACAGAAAGCAAGACTATAATTTATGGACGAATCAATCAAATGTAAGATAACAGGGCTTGGATTTGGGTAAGAAATTCATTCATCCCTTTGGCTAGATAGTGTTTTGGTATTTTAGCTGGTGTCAGTTAGTGATGAAAACTGTAAATCTAATTCTTAAACTTAACCATCAACTGTAAATCATATTTCTAATTCCTCATACTGGTTTATAACCCTCATTTAGTCCTAGTTAGTAAGTGAACATCCTCAAGGTCACTTTGGCGTCGATCAAAGATCGTCCATAAATTATAATTGCACCGTGAATCCCACTGAGAGTTTATAGACTAATTTACATATGTAGGAAAAATTTGTGGTCACTTCGTCTTAACTTTATTTTGTAATACCATTTACATTTAATGTAGAATCATTTTTGTCATAACATAGTAGCTACATTCATACAGAGTTTGCTTAGTGAACATATCAATGTTCTATACTGAAGAACTGTTTATATTCCTCTTTAATAAACTACACTATATTCTATTAAATGAAATCGGTGATTGGGACTTAACTCATATGAATTGTGAAAGTGTCACTTGCATTAAAACAATATAATTCACCAAGTTATATACTGAGTTAAAACAACTACATAATTAGCGATATGACCTATCTCTTCGTACAATAAAGTGTAGCATACATGTTGAATTAAATCTAGTTAAACTACTAATCAGAAAAGAAATAAGTAATATAAAGAGAATATCACTTACACTATCATCAAATGGATGAAATAAAGCTGATCCATTATGTGCTACAAGTATACCATCCTGATATGTACATATTGAACTGCACCAATGACTTGATAGATTACAACTAAACAAAATAAGTATCATATAGCAAGATACATTTTAATAACATGCAGTACTCTTAATAAGGAGAAAATTTCGAAAAGTAACAAGTAACGGTCAACAACAAACCAATAACATTCAGTGAACATTGATAGTTTTAATTCGGAAAATAAATATCTCGGAAAACATTCACTTGATTGACATCCTTCATTATCATTCTAAATTGAATCCCTAATCATGTTGAATGTACATAAACTCTAGGCAAATATTTGTAATTATGCAAGTAAAGAGCTGTACAATAAACACCCATTTTAAACCCATCATACAATTAAACCCAAGATCATCAGGTCTCCTGACGAATGTTTTACATTGAGATAATCATTTTTCATATAAATTCCTAAGATTTTAATCAGAACTGGTGAAAATATTAGTGTAAATATATCAAATGAGTAATAATTACCTATCAGATACATGTGCGCCACACAAATCTCATTTGATTTGTGTGAGGGCTGTGATACTGCCCAGGTGCCCAAACTGAAGCAGGTGGTTTTCTTAGGAGACCACACCTGGAGCCTTTGACCTAAAGGTCTGATCCACAAGGCAGTGGAGCATCGTAAGGAGATGCAGTTCCATGGTAGCCGGTGACCAACGATTGATTCATACGCCATTTGTTCCTTCAGGGTACTGGAGCCTATGTGCACCATTGGTTTAGAATCAGAGTTTTCCAACTCCTCTAGGTTGACTCTCTGTATCCATCAACCCGATTAAAGCGCCGGACATTCGCTTGTCGTCCTCTCAGTTTCGTAAACAACACCCCCACCACGAGAAGGCAGTGAGTAGGACTTCCCTGGCAGAGGCTATATATTCGCTGGCCATGTGAGAACATTTCGAGAGGGAGAGCGGACTCTCCCCACTCTCGGTCGTAACACGGCATTTGGGGGCTAATTACCTATCGATATGAACGGACGATCATCGCACCATTTCGCGAGTTGCCTTAAGTTATAAATCATACTTACTACAAGCATTGAAAGTCATGAATAAAATCTATGGTATGGTTTTGAATAAGTACTACTGAAAAATCTGAAACAAACATAAAACAGATTCTCTAGTATTCTACAGTTGTCAATGGTTTTCTAAATAATGTTAGTTGACATTTTCTTGACAGTTAAAATATTGATTTATCAACTACTGAGTAAATAAATAAATGACTACAAAACACCTATTTTATAAAGACAGATATAAAGAAACATGAGTTACTAATTAAGATACTTCATAATTTACTTATTATTTATTTCAACACATAAAAACTGGTACAAGGAGGCATCATATATATATATATATATATATATATATATATATATATATATATATATGACACACATATCATTCGATTTATGTGAAAGCTAGAACACTACACGGGTGCCTAAACAGAAGCAAGTCGTTTTCTTAGGGGTTCACATCCGGAGCCTTCGATCTAATAGTCTAATCCGCAAGACAACGGAGCAACGCAAAGAGATACAACTCCATGGTAGCCAGTGACCAACAATAGGTTCATATGCAGGCTGTTCCCTCAGGATACTGGAGCTTTTTTTCTTCAAAAAAACTTTTGAAATAATATGGTAATATAGAACTGTGTTGAATTCCTTCGCATTATTGATTATTTAATCATTCAAGTAAATAGTACATTTTTACAGTTGTTAATCATCTAGATATGATAAATTATATTGCTGAAACAAAGAAAAATCATCTTCTTATGAACTTTAACGAGAATCACAAGAATTCAAAGTACAACATAGAACAAAGTGTGTTTGTAGTGACTCATTTCAACTAACTACAATGTATACTTATCTACTTCTTTTTGTTTACACCAAGGCATGACTCCGTAATGTTTCGACTCTAATTTAGTTAAGAATTTTGTGACCCTGTATAGAATACATTTTCACAAACCTATTATCACATATGTCACATATATATATATATATATATATATATATATGTTGTATAATTATTAGTCTTATACGCTTTATACGCTTATTCGTATTTGGTTTATCCGTTCATACAAATTTCTGAGACATGTATCCGGAGCACTCGTATTCCAGCACTTGACAAACCCTTGTTGTTCTAGACGTATTAAGTCGACAGAATATACACGATACTAGTAAGGATCTATGTTGCATTAGCAACATCATTTGTCAGCTTACGAAATCAACATGGGGCTATCTGTTACCACAAATTGCCATAACACATCTGTAAAACGAGATGAAAGTAACAAAGGAATTAAAATCGCCGATGGAAGCAATGATAGTGAGAAAGACTATGTGTAAAGAATGTAGTTCAAGAAGACGGAATGAAAAGGTATGCATGGAGAAATACCATAACTTACGATCGAGAGGAGGAAAGAGGGTGAACATTTTAGCACAACTCGGAGACTCTACACATTATTATTTCATTTAAAAATAAGGTTAAGATTAAGCTAGTGGAAATGTGTTCATGATGAAAGATTCGCCATCAATGGAAAAGTTTTGTCAACGAACAGCAAAACATGTGAAAAGAATGTGAGCATGGAATCTAACTGATTATTAGTGAACAGTTAAAAACAAATGAGCTATCTTTGAATAAGGAGCATGAAAAACACACACTGCTAATATGTAGAGAAAAATTGAATAATAGTAATAATAATGACTACGGACAATTAACAAGACAAAATAAAACGAGAAAAAAATCCACTTACTTATCTCGAACACGAAGGTGAAAGAGTTCATTGTCTGTATGTTTAAATGGAATAATGACCACTTCACCATTGGACAATAGTGCTACAACACCACACTGATTCATATGAACTGGTTCATGATGCAAAGTAGACATTTCAACAACGATATGGTCTGTTTTAAATCTTTATCGCGAAAAGAAACAAGATAACACAATCACAATGTCATGTTAGAGTAAAAAAATAAAAGGATGGTGGAAATACTTTAACTAGTGAAGTGATACAAATAAGTGCATTTGCTTATGAGAAATACAACCTATTTATCAAGTCAAGATATTTGTTTCAAGAGATAACGGTTATGTGAGGACTAGTGCTATAATAATCGGGAATCTGTAGGTAAGTTGCTAGGAAGCTGTTTGAACTTCAAACCCAACGGCCGAAAAACAAGTGATTCACCAATTCATTAAGTCACTGTTCTATATCGATATATACAAGAAAGATCTAAAAAATTAGTGTCTAGGTGAAAAAATTTCTTCATCAAAACTACTTCATTCAACAAGTTCACCGATGAATTAAACAAAACCCCAATTGGTGTTTGTCTGTACGAACCATAAAAAGATGGTTAATTTTTTCAGATAAAACTACTGAAAAAAAAGTAAATTGAATTCATTAAACATATTCGATTAGTTCATGTGTGAATCAAACTATTATAAGTGACTGTACTCAATAAAGCAAGGATGAAGAATAGAGAAGCAATAAGGATACGGAATATCCATGACAGTGAGGCAATAAGTAATATACGTTGCATGACAAGGCATTAAAACAAGCATTCTGTACTACTATGGTGTGGGTTACTGATATCCACGTAAGTAGTATATGGTGATGATAGGGCATTGAATGTATTTCAGTAGAAGATCGATAAGGAGAGAACGGGAACGGCACGCAAATGGTACGAAAATGCATGAACAATTATAATCGGAGACTATGGACGGATATTTGCAGAAGGAACAGTCAAATTGAGACAATTGATTATTTTGCAAATTAACTGTTCACTATATTGTTCTCATACTTTAATGAGATATTCTGTAATGTTGTGCTACAATACATTCGATTGCCCACACTCGTATTCTCATTCACTACACTACTATTAATATCTATACAGTGACTGACATCCCTCTCGCCTATAGGAAACTGGAATTTAAAAGTAAATGAGAGTAATAAATATGACAGAATTCCACAATCCATAGGGACATTTCTCATTATCTGGCTGTATAAATGTGATCAAATATTTATTTTTAAGTATACTGATGACAAACATAGTTCAACTGTGTTTGAATTACAAAACATACTATGTGACTGAATAAGCAGAGTTGAGTAACTGTCGAAAAACAGCTGTCTCAGGTATGCACTCATGAAACAGTGACACACTGAGAATATCAATGAAATCATAAACTGACTCAAGTTAGAAAACTATTGAAAATCTGGAAGCACTGTACAACTATTTTGTCCTAGTATGGGACTTCTCAGTAGTGTGCATCTAAGACTTCACAAGCAGGAATCGAATCTGCGACCTTCAGTCTCGTGCAAAAACGCTCAACCTATAAAACAATAATTGTAGGTAGGAGTGGCATATGAAACGTGCCAACTTACGTCACCTATGGCGAAGATGAGATATCCGTCTATCAATTAAAGGACGAGTAAACTGCACAGCAGTTCGCTCTGTTCTAATTTATGAATGCGAAACGTGGTCATTAAGAGTAGAAGATACTCGTAACCTACTAGTATTTCACCACAGATGCCTTAGAAATATTGCTCGCATCCGCTGGGATCACCGGGTAAGTAATAGTGAGGTTAGAAACAGGATAGTAGGGATTGATGGTAAATCACTTGATGAGGTTGTAAGTCTTCATCGACTGAAATGGTTGGACCACGTGTTACGTATGTCTGAACACTGATTAACACGATGCGCAATGCTGACTGGTGTTGGGGATGGTTGGAAGACAGTTACGGGAGGACAAACCAATACTTGGCATCAGTGCTTCAAGTCACTAACTTCTAGTCTGAACCATGTTGATAGATGAAGACCACTTGGTTAGGGTCCGCGCGACCATCGTAATCAATGGTTGGAGACTCTAGGTGACATGGCAAAGAATCTATCACAATGGCGTAGGTGTATACACTATTTGTCTTCCCTTAAAGACTGAAATTAAAATTACTTTATACATTTCTACGAACTAATTCTTTCTCCCTGTATTATATCCTTACATACAATCTTTCTTTTATATATTACTACCAATAAACTAACTACTTCTATAAATTTGGTGTTCATCTTGTTGTGTTAACGAGGTATGGAAACTTGGACCGATGCATATGTGTGCCTGGCCTACGTTGTAGCTGACTGACTGACTATTCACATTAAAACATGAATCGAATACCTTGTAAGGCCAGTGAAATGTCACTGAACCCTAGCCAAATTATACGGCAGTTGGGTCACTAAATATTGAACAGATCATCGGTCCCTGTCAAGGTCAAGGAAAATCAACGCGCATCAGTCATTCATACGCCATGGACTGGCCCATTCGGCAGTGGTTCTACTTCGCTTGTATCTACTTTAACTAATATATTCCTGTTATAACATCCCTTGTGTTATACAGTCTTCAGAGCATCCATGGTCCCTTGATGCGTCGATGAGGCAATCCACGTAAGGTGCTGGTCGCGAGGTGTGACTTGGAAGTTAGCTAGTTCGTTACACTGTTCTCGTCTAACTCGAGTAGGCCTCCAATCATTCGACATAGATCATCAACGTTGATAGTCTTCAACCTTTCACTTCAAACTATTCTAGTAAACAAAAAATAGTACATATCACAATATATGTATTACATCATTACCTTTGAATTTCCGCATAACCATCCATTGTTTGAATTGACCATAATGTATTTAATTCAATAAAATTAATATTTAATTGTTTCCTATTAGAAAATAATTCTAATATAATATTTTCTAAATCTATTTCATTCATTAAACTATCATGGTTCAGTTGGATATGTAATGTTAAAATTTCATAACCGAAAGCAATATAAATGAAATAATCGATTTTAGTTTTTTCATTATCCATTATCCCTCTTTGTGTAACAATACTATTTATACTATATCTTGGTTTCATATATGAATGAGTTAAACGTATCAATGGTTGATATGTAGTAGTAGTAGTAGTTGCCATAGGATTTATTGATTGAGAAGTTGATGAATCGTAAACAGCCCAAATAATACAATCACCATCAACTGAACCAGTTATACAAAGTTGTAAATTCTTTGTTACATTTAAATAATTAGCACATATAATTGGTCCAGTATGTTGAAGAGTTGGTTTACCTGATGAAAATACATAGGGGGAAACATTTAAAGATTTAATAGTTTTTTTCTAAGAATATTATTAAAAACATATTCAGACAAAACTATCTTTTTGTAAATAACAGGCCTTATGAAAGATCTTGGATTGGTATTGTGATTTTACCTTACCTATAAGGTACAAACACCCATCAATGACAGCAACGATGATGATAAAGATCAGTTCTATGAGAAGCTGCAATCAATCGTAGAGAAGTGCCCAAAAACGACCTGACCATCCTGATGGGAGACCTAAACCCCAAAGTCATAATGGAAACGCCGATATGAAGATATGGGACGACATAGACTGGGGACTAGGAGAAAGGAACGAGAATAGTGACAGGTCTGCAAATTTATCTACATTCAACAAAATGATTATGGGTGACACAATATTCCCACATAAACCCATACACACAAAGCTACATGGGTCCCACCGGATCACACTACATATAACCAGATAGATCATACTTGCATCAATAAAAAAAATTCAGAAGATCAATAGAGGACATGAGAACTAGAAGAGAGACTGACATAGATCCACATCACCAGCTGGTAATTGCCAAGATGAAACTGAAGCAAAGAAGCACTGGGCAACTGGGGAAACGGCATTACAAAGGTTCAATACAGTCTTTCTTCGAGATACTCGCAACCTAAACGAATTCAAAATAGTTCCCAGAAACGGGTTCCAAGCCTTACAAGATCTACACAAAGAAGAATTTATTATAGAGAACACCTGGAAGGGGATTAGAGAATTACTGACTTCAACATGTCAGAAGGTTCTGGGTCGCAAGAAGCATCGTCACAAGGAATAGATCTCTATCGAAACCTTGGACAAGGTACAAGAAAGGAAGAACAAAAAGATAGCAATTAATAACAGCAGAGAAAGTCAAGGTACGAGCTAAATACACAAAAGCAAACAAGCAAGTGAAGAGGAGTATTCGAGCTGACAAGTGGAAATACGTGGAAGACCTAGCAACGATAAAGAAAAAGCTGTAAGAGAAGAAACCATGAGACAACTATGACACGCGACAAAGAAACTAGCAGGGAAACCAGAGAGCCTGGTCAAGGATAAAGAAGGCAAGCTAATGACTAAAATTCAATGACAGAGGGACAGATGAGTAGAACGTTTTGAAGAACTTTTGAACAGACCAGCTCCACTGATTTCACTTAACATCAAAGCCACACACGCAGACCTTCTTATAGGTGTCACTCCAAGAACGATCGAAGTAACCAGGATGGCCAACAGACAAATCAAGAATAGGAAAGCAGTAGGACCTGACAATATACCAGCTGATGCTATGAAGGAGATATAGAAGTAACTGAAAACATGCTCCACGTTCTATTCAAAAAGATTCGGGAGAAAGAACAAGTGCCATTGATGGACTAGAAAGTAGGATACTTCATCAAGATACCAAAAAAAGAATTTTTCTTCAGTTGAAGAACATATGAAACTCAAAACAACTGTCAAACAATATCAAAGTCACAATCTTCAAAACGAACGTCAACACAGTCCTACTGTACAGAGTTGAAAAGTGGAGAACTGCTAAAACTACCATCAAAAATGTACAAGTATTTATAAAGTTGTCTACGCAAAATACTCAACATTCACTGGCCGGATATCATCAGCAATAGCCTTTTATGGGAGATGACAAACCAGTTTCTAGCTGAAGAGGAAATTAGGAAAAGACATTGGAAGTGGATAAGACATACATTAGGGAAATCATTAACCTGAGTCACGAGACAAGTGCTCACTTGGAATCCTGAAGGGAAGCAGAAAAGAGGAAGATCCAATAACACACTGCTCCGTGAATCAGACCAATCACCATTTTGATTGTACTAAAAATATTCCATACTGTTTCCTTTGTACTTTTTAAACTTTTAGTAATTAAATTTCTTAGTTGAAAGCGTGAGTCAGTTGAAGCTAGACCACCAGGGGAAAACCTGGAAGCACTGGACGGCCAACTCGTCCTATTGTGGGACTCCTCAGCAGTGCGCATCCACGACCTCGCCTCGAGAGATTCGAACACAGGACCTATCAGTCTTGCGCCAGAGCACTTGACCGATAGACCACTGAGCCGGCATCAGATAAGGAGTCCCACAATAGGACGAAACAGCCGTCCAGTGCTTCCAGGTTTTTCCTGGTAGTCTAGCTTCAATTGACTCCACAAAAAACCCTTCTGATAATTAAATTTCTGTTATTTGTCTATTCACTTTAAAGAAGTGAGACACATTTAGTCACGAGACATTAGAAATACAATTTTCTATTCATTGAGATATTACAAAAATATATTTATTATTAACTATTCTGAAGTCTATGGCAAACAAACAGATTGAGAGTAAAGACAGTTTATCATGCATCTTCTGAAGTATTAGGAGGATGTAAACTGGCTGCAAACCAAATTTTATCGTTAACTGAGTAAGAATTTGAGTTTATTTTCTAAAGAGGTTTTCTAGCTTGAAAAATTCAATGAAAACAATTTTGAGGGAGCATTTCCACAAACTAAAGTTCGCCTCTCTTCCAAAAAGTAACAGATCGATTCCATTTATAGTGTCTGTTATATAAGAAAAAATCACTACAGACCGAATTATATACTGTGAGATATCAAACAGTTACAATAATATTGTCACTTACATAATGAAGAATTATTCGATAAAGGCAAATTCCATAGTCGAATATCACAGCCAATGGTTTTAGAATCACAATTTTGACCAGCTACACTGATAAGTAATGTATCATCATTATTTGAATTTAGAGGCTTTGTACAACTTAATCCACACGGAATTAGGCCAGCATGACCACTTAGAGTAGCATGATATCCTGTAAGTGACGGTTCATACACTCGAAATTGAAACTCTTGAATATTACGTGAACCGGATATTGTTTGGCCAATCAAAATTTTCACATTAGTCCCATTAAGTAATTCTGACGAGGAACCAGGACGATTAATATATTTGTCAAACATTTGAAATCCTGTTGATAGATCACCATTGAAAGCAACATTATTACATTTATCCACAGTCATTAAATCTTTCTCTGAGCATTGACTTGGTGTTTCATCGGAACCCTCATCCATTAATTCATCATAGTCAGAAGTTCCTTTCATGCTATTTTTGTCTCCAAATAAATTTTCATCCGTAATACCATGATGCTGTGAACTGTCATCTTCATTAGACAATGGTGAACTTGATCTATTACTGAACTCCAAAGTATCTACCACAGAATCTTCACTTTGATGAGGTTCTAGTTCATCGCAGGTATTGATGACACTTTCATTGGTCGCTAAAGTAAATGAAATGAATGAAATTAATATGCGCAAATAACGATAATATAAAGTATTTCTTAACATACAGTGACTTCAGTGGAAGAATCAATAAGAACAGAGAAACACTGGATAGTTGTTTCATTTTTGACTTGCATATTCACATCGACACTATGTGAATATTCATGAATTTGTCATGAGTCCCGTTGCTGCTACCTTGATGCGATGATCGAGCTTGTCTTTCGTGATGAACCAAACGAGCTGTACTAGCTGGAACAATCGTTCCTCAAGGTCCTACCATGTCAGACAGGTCGGTTAAAGAGCGATAAGACTAAAAGAAGCTAACTCAAGGTCCGAGGGCGAAGTCATACTGCTGACTTTACAGAGGTGTGATGGCAGTAAGGTGTTTCCTCCAAACAACCAGCATAATAGCAATGCTGCCTTTCCACAAGGAAAGGTCGTCCCTAGAAATGCACACCTTCCCTTATCCCACGGATTTCCGTCTCCGGTGGTAAGGTCCCAACGAGTATGGAGCTGACACGAAAAGGTCGTGTGTGACCAACCTCAAGAAGTTGTCTCTTGGGCACTGAGATCACGCTCTCAAGTTACTAAGACCAACTCCAACCTAATTCCCTTTTTCGGTACCTCCAGGAAAATCCTTCCACGGTGTAAGCAACCGGGAAGTGATAACAGCCCTCTTACCTGTAACAGAACTCAAGATCACCGTATTCATAATCAGTCTCTCTCTTCAATTTATATTATTCCTCCCACCTCGAATTTCAACTCTAAACTCCCTTTTTTAACTTCCTCCTCAAGTGTCATCATGATCAAGGATTCCAGTGTGCCAAACACTGTCCCAGGTCTACTGAGACCTCGCCCCAAACTACACATTAGAGCCTTCAACGCACACACACCATGTCAAATCAGCCAGCAAGCCTATTTGCTAAAATCCCAAAATCTTGGACCATTGATGTATGCTGTGTCTCCGAAACACGCATGCAGGGTCCTAGTGTGATCATTCACTTGACCTTACCTCGCCTAAACGGACAGCCGACAAGATACACCCTCAGTATATCTGGCGACCCGATGGCTAGTTCTCGTGGACTCGCAGGTGTAGGCATAACATTAATTAATAACATCAATTAATCCTATCCCACCTCCATCACAATGTTCGCCCCCAAATGCCCTGGTATGGCCGAAAGTGGAGAGAGTCCACTCTCCCTCTCGAAATGTTCTCACATGGCCAGCGAATATATAGCCTCTGCCAAGGAAGTCCTACTCACTGCCTTCTCGTGGCGGGTGTTGTTTACGAAATTGAGAGGACGAAAAGCGAATGATCGGCGCTTTAACCGGGTTGGTGGACACTGAAAGTCCACCTAGGGGAGTTGGAAAACCCTCATTCCAAATCAATGGTGTACATGGGCTCCAGTATCCTGAGGGAACAAATGGCGTATGAATGAATCGATGGTCACCGGGTACCATGGGACTGCATCTCCTCACGATGCTCCACTGCCTTGTGGATCAGATCTTTCGGTCAAAGGTTCCGGGTGTGAGCCCCTAAGAAAACCACCTGCTTCAGTTCGGGCACCTGGACGGTATCACAGCCCTCACACAAATCGAATGAGATTTGTATGGCGCATATGTATCTGGTGCTTCCTTGTACCAATATTTATGTGTTTAAATAAATAAATAAAATAAAACGAGGGCAGAACAAACAGTATTAGAGTAGATCCACGTTAACAGTAGCGTATGTGCTGTCCCTAACGGCTCCATAAGAACTCGAAAGGATAGGGACACACATCCTTGCCTTTTCGTCGTTTCCGCCTACGCTTCCAATGACTGCAGCCCCGGATGAAGTGAAAGATGACTTTTACAGAAAACTCTCTGAACTTCTACAAAAAGCTAAGCGCTCAGACATAGTACTCATAGTGGGTGACTTTAATGACCAATTAGGTAGCTTAAACCAAACAGAAAGACATTTAGGTGGATATTTTAGTATCCCGGCTCAGCGAACAGATAATGGTGATCGTCTGTTGTAACTGTATCCAGAAAATCGTTTATTTCTACCAAACACTAATTTTAGGCATAAGGAAAGACATCGTCTAACATGGTGACCGCCTGCACCAAACCAACGAAGGACTCAAATAGAACATATTGCCATCAGTCATCGTTGGAGAGGCTCGACAGAAGAATGTTGCTCGTTCTGAAATACATGTTTAGACTCTGATCATGTTTTAATACGAGAACGCATTTGCTTGCGCCCGACTGGACGCAGGAAAACCATACTAAGAAGACTCATTGGAATTGAACTGGGGGACAAGAAAGCCGAAAGTAAGTTCCAGGAACAACTGAGTTCACATCTAGGCAGTTCTGTAAACGAGGCTGACCCAGATGTTGCTTTGAAGGATACACGAACAGCAGTGGAAACAACAGTGATATATATTAGTGATGTAAATGAAAGGGCTACGAAAAACCAATGGATTTCTACTAAGTCTATTTCGCTGATGTATTCGCGCAAAATCATCCTATCACGCTCTGAACACGACGAAGAGCGAAAGCAAATCAGATCTAGGTTAACCGAAAGTCTACGGAACGAACGTGAGCAGTGGTGTGAAAAGAAAGCGAGAGAGATGGAAAAGGTAGCAGTTGTACGCAGCACCAGGCAACTCTTCAGACTAATAAAAGAAACTGGGTTTAAGAATTCAAATGTGAGCGCCAAAATCTCCGAAAAAGACGAAACATTTATCTGCTCTCAGCCCAAACGTTTAGAACGATGGATGGAACCCTTTAAGGAGCAGTTCCGATGGCCTTCAGCTACTCTACAACTACCCACCATTCCCAAACAGCTTGAATGAGGTGTTGAAGTAGGTCCCCCGACTCTAGTTGGAGTTCAAAAAGCCATGGCTAATCTGAAACGAAGAAGAGTAGATGGTCCAGATGGATTGACTTCAGAGGTCTTTAAGGATGCTGGTCGAGTTTTAGCGATTAGGTTGACTAATATTTTAGTTAAGAAATGGGAGTTGGACGTAATCCTATATGACTGGTCCCAATCACTTACTATCCCAATATACAAGAAGGGGTTAAAATCATCCTGTAATAATCACAGAGGAGTTAGTTTGACTAACACAGCATTTAAAATACTAGCCTCAATAATCATAGGGTGCCTAACTAAGACTCGTGAACTGCAAACACGAGAAAATCAGGCTGGCTTCAGGATTGGTCGTGGATGTATCGACCACATATTCAGTATTCGTCAGATTTTAGAGCACAGACATGCTTATCGGCATCCGACGTTGATAGTTTTTCTTGACTTAAAAGCAGCATTTGACTCTCTAGACCTAGAAGTTCTGTGGCAGTGTCTGTCATTGAAAGGTGTACCTCGGAAGTACATAAACATTAAGAAGGCTCTTTACTCGAACACTACCAGTCACGTTAGAGCTTATTGCGAACTGTCATCTGATTTTACAACCTCAAGTGGTGTCCGGAAAGGCTGTAAACTACCTCCAATTTTGTTCGACTTGTCGATTTAGAATACGCAAATGACATAGTCCTATTTGATGAATACGCTGATAAAATGGAGTCTTTTGGTAGCACTGAGCAGCAATGCAAAGATGTTTGGGATGCGTTTCTCTCCCATCTAAATGTTAATTGTTACTCCAGGACAGGCTTGCATCAACACCTGAACTAAGGATAGGGAGTGAAGTAGTCGAACGTGTCGACAACTTGATTTATCTTGGAAGCTCGATCAGTCATTATGAGTTGATGTCAGACGAAATCTCTGCACGGATTCATAAGGCTCATTTGGATTTCACCATCTTACGCCACCTATGGCGAGGGCAAGAAATCCATCTATCAATTAAAGGACGAGTAAACTGCGTAACAGTTTGCTCTGTTCTAATTTATGACTGTGAAACGTGGTCATTAAGAGTAGAAGATACTCGTAACCTAATAGTATTTGACCACAGATGTCTTAGAAATATTGCTCGCATCTGCTGCAATCACCGGGTAAGTAATAGTGAGGTTAGATGCAGGATATTAGGGATTGATTGGTAAATCACTTGATGAGGCTGTAAGTCTTCATCGACTGAGATGGTTTGGACCAAATGCTACGTATGTTTGAACACCGATTACCACGACGCGCAATGCTGACTAGTGTTGGGGATGGTTGGAAGACAATTAGGGGCGGACAAACCAAAAATTGGCATCAAAGCTTCAAGTCACTAACTTCTAGTCTGAACCATGTTGGTAGATGAAGCTACTTGGTTGGGGTCCGCGTGATTATTGTAACCAATGGTTGGAGACTCTGTGTGACATGGCTCAGAATCTATCACAATGACGCAGGTGTATACACTCTTGTCTTCCCTTAAAGACTGAAATTAAAATTACTTTATACATTTCTACGAACTAATTCTTTCTCCCTGTATTATATACTTACACACAACCTTTCTTTTATATATTACTACCATTGAACTAACTACTTCTATGAATTCGGTGTTCATCTTGTTGTGCTAACGAGGTATGGAAACTTGAACCGATACATATATTATGCAGGGCCCTGAGATGTAGCTGAATGACTTTGTCATGAGTTAGACAAATGAAAATAGTTGACGATGAAAACTTATCAAACAGAATTATTTTCTACAAACATTTTTCTTCATAAAAATTAAAATACTTTAAGATTGGGATCATGAATCGATCTAAGCTAGATCACCATTGAAAACCTGGAAGCACTGGACGGTTGTTTCGTCATAGTATAGGATTTATCAGCAGTGCGCATCCACGACCCCACACATAGGATTCGAACTCCGGGCCTTCGATATCGCGCGAACCCACAACCTCTAGAACACTGCTCGGGCATGTCTAATTTCAACCAATCCACGATATTGGTGAGTAACTGCCTCACATCTGACACGGTTGAACTCCACTGGTCACGACTTTTCACTAGTACCCCGAGAATTAACTCTTGAAGCTAGTCACTAGTGAGCACATGATAATTATCAATATAGGATTGTGTAACATTACGATTACTTCAAATGATAAGGAATATATAATAGCATATTTACAAATAGATTTTAAGAGAGAATTATTATGAATGAACTTATTATCTAGGAATAATACATTTGTAAAATCTCAGCGAATGAATTTGAAGTAAATCCAACGTTTCGCCTGGCAATCTGGTCCAAGCTTTTTCAATGAATTCCTATTTAATGTCTTACATCAACTTGGCGCTCAAATACTGTGAAACTATTCGCTCTAATTTAGACGAAAGTTCTTACATAGAACATATTATCTGTCGTTTATATACCTATAACCTCTGTATTATAGCTATGTATAAGTTATATCTGCTAAAAATTACTTCTTTCAATATGTGTATGCACTCTAAGTTTTTACGGATAGTTTCCTTTCAAATTAGTATTGGATGGACTTCACAGTTATCCTGACATTAGATTGTACATGATAGACTAAATGTATACTAAGTTATCAAATTTTACTCCAATTACCAAAATTCATACTTATGTTCATAGTTTACACAACTGTAATGTAAACGATTAGTGTACTGATAATTTTAAGGTACATTTTATCCAAATGTAAAATACAATCAATTTGAGAAAAAAAATAAGAGTGATTATCAACAGAAGTGTCATTAAACAAATAGAATCAATGACCACTGAAGTGAAAATGTGACAAACCTACTGATGATATAGTCAAAAACGGAATAAGTAAAGAGAATTCAAACAGTTGACCAAGTGATTGAAAGTTGATTTAGGACCAAGGAAAAATAAATTTAAAATCTACTAACTATGTAAGAAGTATTACATCTCAGAAAGTGAATATCTCCTTCATCTACACACTTCCAGTCACAAGGCATCAATTAAATATATTCCTATATATATCAATGCACATATATAGATATATTAGCAAACCCCACTTTTAATTCGTAAATTAATCTTGACAAAAGTGAGATCTTCGTAGTTGAAATCATGATTCAGTTGAAGCTAGACCAACATGGAAAACATGAAAGCACTGGTCGGCCGTTTCGTCTTATTATGGGACTCCTCAGCAGTGGGAATCCACGATCCCGCACACGCGAAAATCGAACCCAGGACCTACCAGTCTCGCGCCAGAGCACTTAACCGATAGACCACTGAGCCGGCCGAAATCCAACGGTGTTAATGTCTAACTTCAACCAATCCACGAAGTTTGAGCAACCGTTCACCAATTGTCTTCAGTGAGTTGATATCTCTACAACAGACTTGGTTGAACTCCACTGTTCACTGCTGGGGCCATCCAGTGCTCCCAGGTTTTCCATGGTGGTCTAGCTTCAACTGACTCATGATTTCAACTATGAAAATACTGAAATCTCCATGAAACCCCTTCTGATCTAAAAAGTGAGATCAACAATCTCTTTCCAATATTCAATAAAAGTTCAATATCTACCTTTTCCGACCATTTTTTTTCGTACATTTAATTAGTCGGTACCGTATATGAGAACATGATTGTCATTGAGTGTTTCATTCTAATGATCTAAAGCGATCTTGAACATTGAATATTGAAAAATTAATGTTACGAATTCACGTAAAGAATAAGACAATTATAACTTACATGAATTATAACATGGAGTATATTCAAATGATTGAATTTTAATAAGATTTACAACATTCTCATTGGTTGTATTCGAGTTCAAGTTGTCTAACGGTGATGATATAATCATTTCACTGATAAGTTCAAAATTTCCATTTTTACCATATCGCCATACACTTATATGACCATTAGATGTAGCAGAAAAAATATAAGGAAACTACAATTTTGAAATTAAAAAAAATTACACCATGGATTTTTATTTTGATATACTTTGAATTAAATACGTGTAGATTCTGATGTATGACATAAAAAGAGAAATCATTTGATGTCAGTCAGTCAGTCACAACGAAGAACTTCGTACGTATGTACATCAGTTCCAGTTGCCATACCACATTAGCATAGAGATGCAGTTGTCGATTCAAATCCCATAGTGATAGAAGTAGTAAGAGTTTAAGCAGTAATGTGAAAGATTAGGGTTTGAAGATGTTGTGGAAGGAGTATAATCCATTAAAATAAATTTGAAAAAAGAAAAAGGATAAAGACATGAAGAATTCAGAAGATTAGAATTTGGGAGAACACAAAGAGTGGATGCACCTTCGCCATTGCAAACGATTTTGAGCCATGTCATTCAAGGTCTCTAACCATCGAATGCTATCATCTCGCGGATCCCAACCAGGTAGTCTACACCTACCAACATGGCTCAATCCAATTGTCAGTGACTTCATGGATTTATGCCACGTTTTGGTCTCGCCGCCCATAGCTTTCTTCCAACCTACTCCTACACCATAAAACATTGCACGTCGTCATTTGATGTGAATACTACAAACTACATATTGATGACCTAAACTTGGTATCCTTTGTAATTACTATTAAGTGGGAACACAAATTGAGCAATGAACCTACTAGAGATGGATAATGGCTAACAGTGGAATTCAAGAAGTGTGATTCATTCACTGCTAGCCATCATCAATCTTTGCTTAATAATGTTTAAGACTTAAGGTAATATATAGAGACATTCCGCATAGGATGCACATAAGCCGAAAGGAGACTGAACAATTTTCAGTCCTAAACATCAATGGGACGACTCAAACAACTAATACAAAGATGCAATGAATATACTAGTTTTCTTTTACGCTGTGATGAATATGGAGTTTGTTTTATATTCAACATGATTAACCTATGAGAATTTTCAACTTGTTCCCATACATGTTTATAAATTATACCACTGAACGGCCGTTTCGTCCTTTTATAGGACTCCTCAGGAGTGCGCGTCCACGATCCCGCATGATCTTAACTCCATAAAAAAATTACTGAAATCTCCACTAAACCCCTTCTGACAAAAGATTGGCAATAAAAGTATTCATAAAACTTACATTGAAATCAAGTGATTTAATACCAGATTGATCTGAAACAAGTGTTTGTTTCAATTTATATTTCTTTGATTTAATTCTATATAAACGAATTAACTGATCATTACTTCCAACAAGTAATGTTAGTTTTCTGTCAGACATTTTATACAAAATATATGACCATTTCAATGATATAATCCAATCTTTAGAAGCATTATATATGATGTATTGAAGTGTTACAGTTGTACTATTTGAATCATATTTGTAGATAGCTACATTCTGGTATGTACAAAACAAGAATAGAGATCTAGTTAAAATGAATCCAATTTTTTTTATTAATGAACAAACTAGTTTATTAAATACTGAACATTTGAATGAAACGGTGTGCAAAATAAAATTATGGAGCATTGACTTAGTGGTTAAAGTATTTGATCGGTGACAGTTAGGCCTCTTCTATTTGGTGAATTTGATAATCATACAAACTGTTATATCCCGTGGAGGTTATGAATGGTAACTTTGAGAACTACTTATAGACAAATATGATATGTATATTTCCTATTGTATAACTGTTAAGTAACTAAAGTATTCATATTCGTGTCCATATTATTAGAAGCTTTATTTTGACGCATAGACTATTATTATACGATTTACCATTCTTGAGTTGTCCCTAGTCTATTGATTACTGTTCCCTCCCCTACTCACAGTCACATTTGGCGAAATCTTGTACAAATGTTATTTTCTATTTTATGGTACAATGTGGTCAGTTTGTTTAATATATAAACCCAGTATGTTTGAGGACAATGATTCATATTGCAGAGGCTGTTATTGGGGTTCTGGACTTAACTGACTGAGCTAGGCAGAAAGCAGGATTGACAAGTACTCAAGACTGCTCATACGGCTTTTGTGTATCATAGCTCTCTGATCGATAATTCGCTCCTCTCTAATTGGTGGTCATATCACTCATTTATCATACAGGGCACGCGCGCACCCAATCGATATAACACTAACTCTTTCTAACAAATAACTAAATGGGTCGACGAACAATTATTCTGTCCGTTAGATGTGGATAAATAAATGATACTGGATAAAGTTCAAAATCAGACTTTTCAGAAATATAATATATATTTATAAATTTGAAACAGAATTCCATAATTATCATTTCCAAGCTCAACCAACTTGTGCTACACAGCAGAATCATTGATAATATTAGCGTATATAACTATTTTTCATCCGACTATTTTTTTTAATTTTACATATTTATTTATACCAAATATATAAATATATGTGCAACACATATCATTCGATTCATGTGAAAGCTAGAAAACTACACGGGCGCCCAAACTGAAGCAAGTTGTTTTGTTAGGGGGCCACTCCCCGAGCCTTTCACCTCAAGGTCTAATCCACAGGGCAGTGGAACAACCTTAGGAAATACAGTCCCACGATAGCCAGTGACCAACAACAGGTTTATATCCAGGCTGTTCCCTAATCATACTGTAGCTCATCTGCACCATTGGTTTAGAATCAGGGTTTTCCAAATCCCCTAGGTGGATTCTCCATATCCACCAACCCAGTTAAAGCGACAGACATTTGCTTTTCGTCCTCTCAATTTCTTAAACAACACACCCGCCACAAGAAGGCAATGAGTAGAGCTTCCGTGGCATAGACTGTATACGCGTGGCTATGTGAGAGCATTTCGAGAAGGAGAGCAAACTCTCCCCACTCTCGGCTGTACCACTTCACAGAGTACAACTAGAATATTGAGATTATTTCAAAGCCAGTTAGTGTTTAGGTAATTAGTTTATAGAAAGTCATTCAATTTAAAGATATCAATTAAAGATATTCATCAACACTAACTAACTCGACCTTTTTTTCTGTTAATTTAATGGATCACTGAGCATTTTATTTCAATTATTTAAAACTATCTACATGGGTCATCTATGAACACGACGCTGTGGTACATCTCATCTTACGGGATTAACAAGGAGACAAATAGTGAAAATTATAGTACGAAATGGAATCTCCAGTCACAAATATACTTTTATATGCAGTATTCAATAGTTAACTAAACGAAGGCGAAAATGCTAGTTATCGTGCAAATATGCGCTACACATTCACAAACACGTATATCTTTTTCTCATAATTAACAAGAAGAAAATTAAACCACTTACTTTATCTTTCGAGCCTGTGGCTATAAAACCCATTTGTACTGCGACAGCAGTTATTTGACTACTATGTTCTCGAAAACAAAATGATTTCACTAAAGGATTTTCTAACACGGAACCAACAAAATATACCCATACTTCACAATTTCCACCTCCGCTAACTGCGATAAAATCGGAAGCAGCTGCGCATAGAGTACCACCAGCTTCACCTGTCCCATTCTCTGCATGTTCAATAGAATGTGACCAAGAAGTATACAAAGGTACAATGGATACATCGCAAATAGAATGCAAGTCAGACTGAACAGTGGAATTATCATCCCGTTTTGATTTAATACCGGGCCTAAAACTAAAATGATATAACTAGAAAAGAGAAAATAAATTACAGTGATAAATGAAATGGACAGATAAAATAAGAAAGTATGATGACATATTCACATTTAGATATAGATAAAACAAAATACACTCACAAAAATGGGAATTCAATGGCCAGATATTATTAATTTCTGTCATTCACTGAATATTATGTCCATAAATAAATGAATGGAATTCCATAGAAAGCTATTTAGTATTATCTACATCGACAGAGATTGTTAGGAAATGTAATAATTTTGTCTGGCCAACACTTATTTCGATGGACGATACTAGCTGGTGTAAAAGTGAGTTGTAAGAAAGGTAGAAGAAGGATGGGTGTATATCTTTTTAAGTTTATCTCGACGTGCTAATGTGGTCGAGACGTTGGGCTTGTACATATTTGCTTCAGATCATATGTGGATTATGACCGACTGGTTGACTATAATACAAACAATTAAGATTAGGTAGTCCAATATTATAACACCTCACTGTAACTTATACAGAACGATGAGTTCAACACAATAAAGTATTTCCGAAATAAAATAATAATTAAAATATAAAATTTAAATCAACTGTAACCCATTTATCATGTAGAAGTGATGTGAACCGCGAAACAAGAAGCCTTGACAAACTACGGAAGTTATTTGTGAGGAAGTTATTCCATTTAATTCAAAGCTTGTAAAACTGTAACATTTACTTTTGCTCCTAGTCTATTCTACAGATCATGAGCTTTCGTTTGATGTATGATTCACTGACATAGTCTTTTCTGATCCAAAGCTATTGTAATTTAAACGCAACCTTATGTACTCTATTTTCTACTCTAATCTCCCAGTTTTGGAGATAATTGTATTTTCCTAATTATTTGCGTTGTGGTCGGGTTAGTCATCTACTTATTTATGTATCTTTTCACACTAATCTGAATTTGGGTACCAGATCGGGATTGGAATAAAAGGGATTAGTGTTCCAGTTGTCTTGTCTTCTCTCCCTCGCGTGCTTGTCAGCCAATCAGGGATAGAATAGTTTTCGTCTCTCTACCCCCACTTCGAACTCACGCATACTAGCCTCAAGGTTAAGCCAGTCAGCTTATTGCGTCAAGATCTTAATCTACATTAGACAAGTTACGCTCGGCACTAAGTGGGTAGACAGATTCAAGGACGTAACAAGAAGTTTATATGCTCAGTTTTTTTTATTAACATGTGTAGTTTATTAATACTGAAATACTGCCTAAATCGTAGTACGTGAAATATGGTTCGAATTCCTTCAATTATAAGTGCTAAAAACTAGTTCATTGCCAAAATATACGTGGGCTTTTACAAATTAGTTGTATACTACTTCCCATCACATCAATATGATTACAGATTCAAACAAGAATAGTAAAATCTTGAATAAATAAAATTAATTACGTAACCAAGTATTCAGAAAGCATGTCGACGTAGATGTTAAAACAAATCAGACCAACGAGGTATATATGTATATGATTTCAGTATAGGGTTTTGAAAATTGTTGAATTTCATTGAAATCATGAACTATTAAAAAACCGGAAGCCTTGGGTGGCCGTTTCAATCTAATATGGTACTCCTCAGCAGGGCGAATCCATGACCCTATCACAGGCAATCGAACCCAGGATGTTCGACCTTGCGCGCGAACACTTAACCTCTAGATCACTGAGTCGGAATTCAACGGTATGATTAGTTTTGAGAGGTAATTACCAGATTGTGTGGCACATATGTATCTGGCGCCCTTTTGTACCAATTTGTATGTGTTTAAATAAATAAATAAATAATAATTCCCAGATTTCTAGTGAGAAGTCATGATCAGTGGAGCCAATCCATGTCGGGTGTGAGACAGTTGCTCACTAAACACAATGGAAGATGATTACTTAATGTCATAGATTCAATTAGTTCAGGCTTTAACACCGTCGGATGCTGGTCCATTGTTCTAAAGGTTAAGTGGCCGCACGTGAGGACGAAGGTCCTGATCCTGGGAATGAGGTCGTATATGTATATGGTATTCGGCGATGAAATCAATATATTCATAGTCTTCAGGAGACTTTATTAACCTCATCAGAGGTTATTTAGCATGGTATACTCTATGTTTCATTGAATCTTTGCTAATATTAATTAAGTAGTGTTAAAATGAAAGAGAGAAATTTGACAATTAATTATTTTGATAATGACTATCGATCAACCATGTAAAAGAATTAATTGGTCTTCAATGTTTCTGGAACGTAAATTAAATGGTACCTAGGTCTTTAGGACTAGTATCGGTTGGTCTGTTACAACTCACATAGTCGGAGTAATGGACAATGTGCAACTCAACAGCTTGAGACACTATTATGTTGTACGACTTAGAATAGAAGACAGTGGGAATTCCTTTGTAGCTTCTTGCATAGAAGTGCGATGATTTTTAATCTCGGGTGTATTTTCAAGTGAACTATGTCTCATACTGACCACCATTCACGCTCACTTATCCTACGACTCTTCCCTCCGTTATTTCTACCAAAAGTCATTAATTCATTTATGCGGTGCATTTATGTGTGCTCTTTTGTACCAAAATTTACATACCACAAATACATATATGCAATTATATAATAAAGAAGATTAGATACTTTCATGAGTATCTGGAAAAAATCTCACAATCACATGCACTACGTAGGTGTTATATCTCGAACTTAGATTATTAGTATGTCGCGTGATATTTGAGCACTAGAACAGTAGAACCCTCCCAAGTCGCAAAATCAGAAGACAGAAGACAAGTAGAAGGAATGTTATTCCAAATAGTGTCAATTAGTAGAAACGAAATCATCCAATCCGCACACAGGGAGTTATCAGCTTTGTCCAATAGGGAAGCTACAAATAGTGATTCTAGAATATTCTTCCAAAAGCTGATTGGATGGAATATGTTCGGCTCCTTCTAGGCTACTTAGAGCTTCCCCAACCTCACCTGTGGACCCTCCTCACAGTAGGAAAGTTGTTTTCCAAAGAAAATTTTGTGATAGCTCCATAATAAAAAACCTAGCTCAGCAAAAATGATACAAGCATCAGGTTACACATACCTAAAGTCAGACCACAGAATAAATATCGTCATTATGCCAAAGAACATTTAAATATTACGGTTATTGGAAGTATAACAATCAAAGATCAGTCGATATCTGGATTCTGAACATTGAGTGGTCATTTTTAGACCAGAAAATCATCCCTATATATGTCTGCTACAAGAACATTCAGTACTGGCTTACTAGCCGTTCCTCATAAACCCAGACTAATTCTACACTTAAACAATAGAGAAAAGGTGGAAAAGTATTAGTAAAAGCTTTACTACAAGGTTATTTTATGTACAGAAAATTGAGAACATTTATAGAGTTGTATTTGACCTTAGACTTCTATAACTTTACAGAAACATACCAATTATAGTAATGGTGTAATTATCCAATCACAATGTGAAACATGCTTATCCACTTTCTAGATGTTCCTTAAAAGCTTTATAGTGTTGGTTTGATAAGAACCATTTCCTAGCGTTTTCTGGGCTTCTAGATACTTTGACGAAGGATATATTTTTTGGACTCCTCAACAATATGTACATGTGATAAAATAAACAAAACTGACTTTTGAAACAAACTAACTAGGGCCAAATCTATCATCGAAACAAAAAAACTCACTCTAACCGCACCAGATGACCAGCCAATAATGACAAGATTAGCATCATCGCAATAAGGTGAAATACCACAAGCGATAGCTTGAACAGATGAATTATCGTTTATCAGAGGAATTAATTTATCCGAACTGAATATAGTTTCACCATTGGTTATTAGAACAATAGTGAAGAGACCATCATTCCATCCAATTATTATGTGTTTTCCACTTATGTCAATAGTATAGGTTGTGGCGAGTACAGTTCGTTTCATTTCTTTCTTATTTTGAATAACATTAATCCATGGACCTAAGAAGAGAGAGAACAGATGCCCCGGTTAATAGATTTTAAAAGTGTAGTTTAATGATTGAAATAAAAAATTTTTAACAGTTCGTTCACTGGTTCCAATCTCGCACTAAGAACTTCTGCCTAAGTTAACTGGTAGTATCGATATTGCATACACAAGCAGTATGAGTCAAAGCGACGCACGAAAATCTTAACAAACTTATTTTCATAATAATAATAATAATAATAAAGTCAGTCAATAATCCATAAATTCCACAAAATAGGATCCAGCAAAGTAGATTCCTTCATGAGTATTCTCATAAATCAGAGGTGCAAATATTTTGTAGCTAATATACAAAAAAGACATTACAAGTAACAAGTGCTGAAGAAAATGAATCCAGAAGGTACAAAAAAATCTAAAACAAATGGCCATGTATATGAAACCTTAACGTTTATATATCATTCATAGCCGTAGAATTTGTTATATATGATACACAGTAGTTAAAACTAGACTTAATAGTAAATATATTTGCCATTACAAACAAGGCAGCAATAAACACTACTATTAATTATGTTACTTAACGATGAAGATTCTTCTGTTATACCTCAAGTCAATAATTATGGGAGACAACAGTCGATCAACACTTATGGTTCATAAAAGTGACAAAGAATCCTAATGAATAGACAATAAAATAAAAGAATGGCTTGACCATCTGATATATGACAGCGAAATTGAAAAATGGTTGGTCACTGAGCTTGGAAAAACAGGCACTTAGCCTACTGGCTATTAATTATGTGACTTTCTTTCCTCATATTGATTCCCACTCTGGACTCACTGAGATTGACTTTTCGTACCTGTAATTATGATTTACGGTTGATAGTTAGGGTTAGGAATTAGATTTACAGTTTTCATCATAAACTGACATCAGCTAAAATGACAAAACGGTATTTAGTCAAATGGATGAATGAATTTCGCACCAAAATACAGGATTTGTTATTTTATATATGATTGGTTCATTCATAATTTATAGTCTCGCCCAGTTTTACTATGCTTTACAGAGGCCATTGTTATCAAGCTATTTTGATCTGACTTTTTAGTGTTTAAACTCTCAATGCTAGTTGGTAAGACCGCTTTATATTATTTGAGAAGCTCTGAAATATAATGAATTCATGCTATTCTACAAACTTTGCTCCTCCCGGTTCATTTGAAATTACGGATTGTTTCGGTATTACGTGATACATTTGCCATTTGAAAAATTCATTGACATGTACTTTTGGAATAATTTACCTACCTTCAGGTGCACCGAGATGAGCATTCCAAACATTAATTCGACCAACTGATGACCCACCGCCAGTTTGAATAAGATAGCGTCCAGTTGGTTTAGAGAAACATAATACTCCCTTTTGACTCGGTAATAAATGATGCAGTTCATCAAGACTAGTGAATTCATTAATTGATGAGAAACTGACATTTTCAGTTAACCGACCTAGATATACAAATGTATCCGCATTCAAAATGAAACTTTGACCTTCTCTATCAAGAATAGCTAATAATCTTCCATTATTTGGCGAGTAAGCCAGTGAACAAATAGCAGATGATGAGATTGCAAGAGACTAGAAAATGAAATGTTAAAAGAGGGAAAGAAAAGAAAGTACACAAAATCAAACAAAGGTAATTCAACACCATTGAATATAGTAGTACAACGTAATAAAATAAATGTTAATTCTCACCTTTATCCAACTCATAGATATGAGACTATAAAAATGGACGGAACCATCCCAACATCCCACTGCTAAAACATCACGTAAATATTCAGGAGGAATAGATTTTTCACTATCCGATGCATAATTCGGTAAACGAAAAGCGATTGAATTAATAGACGATTTGATATTCAGTTTTTTACTCGGTTTAATTTTTTTGCAACCAGATGATATCGATGTAAAATATGATCCAAATCCCAATTCACCAACTTCCCATAAACAAATTAAACAATCTAAACCACCAGTAGCCAAAAGACGGCGTTTCGGATGCCAAGCAGATACAGTCACAGGTTTGTTATGATATCCACCTAAAGAGCACAATTGAGAACTGGTACTGGTTGTAATTCCACATGTAACACTTTTTATCACATTCGATAAATCCCAAATAAGTATACTAGCATCTTGACTAGTACTAACTAACCATAATTGTGAACTGGGAATACTGTATGATCTAACCGTAGAACTGTCAACATCATCAAGAAAACATAAACTAAGTATTGGCATATTATGTCCAAGAAATGAACATAATGTCTAAAAGAAAAAAAGAGAGGAAAACAAAGAATTAATGGTGAAGTAAATGGATTCAATAAAATAGGACTTACACGAAAAAGTAAGTTTATATAGGTACATACCAATGATAACCATTTCGTTATACTGTTAAAAAAACATATGAAAAGCGAGAAAAACTTACTTTAAATGATTGCACCTCAACAACAGTAACTGTGCCAGACTCAGTTCCATAAGCTAATAAATTACCTGTTCGATCAAGTTCAATTGCAATTGGGATATCTTGAGAACCAGTTAATGGTGTGACTGGTTTATGAATTGCAATTGGTTGAATAATTTTCGGTAGGATACATGAATTGTCATTAGTATTTAATTTAATACGGAAAAATTTTTTACATAAGTCACCATTGATTTTTTCTTGATAATTTGAACTGAGTAAAGATGCATATCCAATTGTATGAATCCATTCATCAACATCTTGATTGATAGCCAATTCAGTGAATGAATACGGATGTCTAATAAACAGAAAATTATACTAAACAATGTTACATGGTTTAAAAAAACAAACTGAATATTTGGGTTGTATTGGGTCCCGTGTGTTCCAGTCGCAGTATAAAATGAGAGGAGATCAGTTGCATGATCTCGTGCTATCTCTCTCTCTTAGTCGATTACCGATTAATTCACCTACATTACCACTGGGACTGGTGACTTTATACTTACCAATTGATACAACGACTAATGAACACCAAATAAGACCATGATAGTTATTGGTCCTCAAATTACTAATACTACAAATGCAGGCTAAGACGACCAATGTAGCAGCAGCCTCAGAAGCAGTAGGTCTCAATATACGCAAAGGGAAAAGCAAGATTCTCCGAAACAATACAGCATGCACCAACCAAATTACACTTGGCGGAGAAGCTTTGGAGGACGTAAAAATCTTTACATATCTGGAGAGCATCATTGATAAACACGGTGGATGTGAAGACGCGGATCGGCAAAGCAAGAGCAGCATGTTTACAACTGAAGAACATCTGGAACTCAGAACAATTGTCAACCAACATCAATACGAATTTCAAGACAGTTCTACTTTATGGGGCGGAGACGTGGAGAACTACGAAAGCCATCATACAGAAGATACAAGTGTTTATTAATAGTTGTCTACGCAAGATACTTCGGATCCGTTGGCCAGACACTATCAGCAACATTCTGCTGTGGGAGAGAACAAACCCATATAGGTTATTCTAGTCTCTGGATAGACAAATCTATTAATTCTTCTCGAGACATATTTCTACCTTATCACTCATTCGCTTTTCAACCTTAACTGTTTTCATCTGAGGGTATGTGTGTACATTGCTTATCCTACCCATCACACATCTGCAGCTTAATTTTGTTTGACTATAAATATCGATCCACGCTTAGTTAAAAGGAGTTGGCTCACACGCCTTCCCTACAGCACGTCATTTCGTTTAGCTTCGCTCCCTCCCCTTCTCTCCCTTCAGTTCGATTGTCTGTCCAGATAGACGATTGTGTGAAATATACGTATTCGAAATTCATTTTCGTATTTGACTGATTTTCGCTCCGTTATTTGCTAACATGATTTCAGTCGATGATGATTATATACGAGGATTGGGCGGTACAGAATATTTCAATAACAATTGTAATACGATCTAAATGGAGTCAGACATAAGGCCACAAAAACAGTATTCTCTTAAAATGATCCCGACCGTTGCTGCTACCTTGACGTGGTAATCGGGCTTGCCTATCGTGATGAACCAATCAAGATATACTTGCTGAAACAATCGTCCCTCAAGGTTCTACCATACCAGACATGCCGGTTAAGGAGCGGTAAGACTAAAAGCAGCAAACCCAAGGTCCAAAAACGAAGTCAAACTGCTGACTTTACAGAGGTGTGACAGCAGTAAGATGTTTCCTTTAGACAACCAGCATAATAGAGATGCTGCCTTCCCACAAGGAGGGGTGGGGTTAGAAAAGTTCGACCCTGAAAATGAAAACCTCGCCTTATTCCACGGATTTCCGTCTCCGGAGGTAAGGCCCCAACAAGTACGGAGTTAACACACAAACTACCCACAAAAAGGTCATGTATGACCGACCTCAAGCAGTTGTCTCTTGGGCACTGCAGTCACGCTCTCAGGTCGTTAAGACCACTTCTAACCCAATTTCCTTTTCAGGTAACTCTAGAAGAACCCTTCCAAGGTGGGGGAGACCGGGAAGTGATAACTGCCCTCATACCTCTAACAGCTGATCAATAGAAGCGTTTTCAAAGTTGTTATCATTCAATTAAATTAAATAATTGTTTAAAATAAATGAATAAATCAACAACTTACTTAATTAAAAATTCATAATTCGATGCAAGAAATCTTTGCATGGTTCTAATTTTATCTCTCATAAAATCTAATGAAGTAGGAATATTGTTTGATTCAGATTGATGATGTGTAGTAGTAGTAGTTGTAACTAATCGAGAGAAAAATTTATCATAATGACAAGAAAAACGGCGGTCAATCTCAAAGATAATGATTATTTATTTTGTTTAATATATAATGATAGTAGTAATGATAAGACACTAATCTATCAATATTTAAAATGAACATAATCAAGACTTATACATGTCGATAAACATCATAGAGTCATTTAATTAAGTTCCTTTCATGAATGTTATCTGTTCCTTTAACTAACTAACTAACTCACTTCATATCATATCACTCATGAAGCAAGAATCTATAATTTTTCATCAGTTGTTCACATTTTCTTATAACATATAACCATTAATTCATTTCTGTATTGTCTGTTTGAATCGTCCCATTGATGTTTAGGACTGCAATTGGTCAGTATCTTATTGGCATATATGAATCCTATGCGGATTGCCTTGGATCACAAGCATTACAAGAAACGATGGATGGTGGCTAGCAGTGGAATCAAGAACGCGCGTTTCGTCGTATTTGGGACTCGTCAGCTGAATGTACCTGCATCTCAGAGTTGATGTTCACTCTAGGACCAGTTGCAGTCCTAAACATCTATGGGAAGATTCAAACAAGTAATACTAAGTGAATAGATATAAGTTTGAAAAACAGATTGTCATCGACTACCAAGTTTCAACGACTTCTGTGCTACATACTTTGTAACATCTGTAACAATGAGTCAAATTTTTTTTTATGTACAAACTATGTGCCCGACTACTCCTAGAATACTGTACTTCAATTCTTAATAGTGTTCATATAAAGGATAAACTAGGATTGAAATCCATTCAGCAACTCTTTGTCATTAGTGAAACGATCTCTTTCTAAATCTTTTCTCTATATGAATTGCTTTACAAGTAAATTTCGAGAATTTATAATGATTTCCCGAAACCTATCCATAGAATAAAAACATCGTTATCATCTATTCGCTTAACTGATGTTTACCTATCATTATAAACTGTCTTAAATGTGCTTACACTTTTAACTAGATTTCCTTCCAGTGATGAAACTACAAGGACATCATATATTTAATCATTTTCATTATTGAACGCATTCATTAAACTTCCCTCCCTACAGATATCTTAGACTTACACCGTTTCTGGCAAACATAACTACTTTAAATAATATCGAACACAAACAGTGAAGCACAAAGTAACTCAACACTTACATAACGGTAAACCTATCACAGTTAACTTTGTTGTTTTTAGTTTGGGTTTCATTGTATCTTAACAATAGAGGGTACATTAAACAACGTATTCATCAGAGTTTAGCCTGATATCTTAATGCACTCTACAACTGCCTTAGAATATCTGCAGACGAACCAACCATATAAGAAAAATGATATTGTTTTACTTAGAAATAGATATAATTGCATACAATGCATGAAAAATACGTGGTTAATTCTAAATGGTCGATGAATAAAAATTAAAAAACAACATCACGAAAGTATAACAGGAAAACCAATCAAGATTAAAAATCGATTGATGTACTTTGAAAGAGAGATGGATGGTGATTAGAAGTGGAATCAAGGACTTACATTTTGTCTTATTTGGGACTCGACAACTAGATGTACCTACCTACATTCCAAAGTTGAAGTTCGCTCCAGAACTCGAATCAAATGTTTTTCGCTTCAAACGCCTTAACGTTATCCACTCAGCTACTGAGTACAGATGGCCACTTGATCAATTATTTCAATTTAGTTTGAAGATGTGCAGGAACTATAACCAGCAGCAAACAATGACCATGTATGACTACCACAAGGACTTTTCAATAACTATATCAGTCAACATGTGATCGATTTAATAGATAACAGCTTTTTCTAAAAATACTTTATAGGTAGTTTCCAAATGAAATAAAACCTTAACGAAATCGATGTTAAAGTAATATTTTGTTTGGTGATAGACAATAGAATAGGGAATCTACTGAAAGTATTGCCTAAAACATGTTATCTGGATTTAAGTGAATCTAAATTTTGATCATTTAACTGGAATTTGAATCCATCACCATTGTTTATCCAACCGTCAAAAGTTTATACACTAAGCTATTCAGTCCACTTAGCAATCAATTCAGTACACTTAAAACCGAGACAATAATAAAGATACTTTTAAATTCAGTTTCACCCAATTAGTAGTAATGACCAAATGGAAAATAGAGCACTTACTGTATCTATTCATATCGTCTAACAATGTCAAACCATATCCAGATTCAATTTGATGAATAAGAAACGCTGGACTAGTGAGTAAACAAACAACTTCATTTAATCGACCGGCATGATGCTAAAATTCATTTTTGTGGAAAAACACACATTTCCGTCATCAATCAATTAGATACGGTATTCCATTTAACTAGTCAAAATGTTAATACATCCAAAAAAGTTGAATTGATAACGATGCAGTTAAATTAATGTCTACAATAAAGTGGCTATTCTTCATCAATGGAGACTGAACGATAGATACATTATGTGAAAAATCAACTGAAGTTAGAAATGTAAATCGCTGGTTGAGAAGGGTATCGTACTTGGCACCAAGCCTAGTTCTTAACTTCGATCTATTTTGTGGAGGACTACGATAACAATGTTTGTAAGTATTCACAAAAGATTACACAGTTGTTAAATAATCCCGACCCACAGAGAAAACTTATACTCTACTTAAAACAGATAACTAAAAAGTACAGCTCAGGTATAATCTTGAAATACACCATTTATCGATTTACAGCAAACTCTGTTACAGTATCAGAAAGGATTTAGTTTGCTTAAAATATAGAAGAATGATAATAAATCATTCTCAGTATAGGGTTGTGGAGATTGTTGAGTTTTGATTGAGATCAATGTTACACCAGGATTGAAAACCTGAAATCACTGGACGGCCGTTTCGTTCAAGTATGAGATTCCTCAGCAGTGGACGTTCACAGTCGCGCATGCGTTGTTCGAACCCATGACCTTCGATCTCGCACGCGAACGCACACTGCCGAGGCGTCCCATACTAGGACGAAACTGTCGATTCAGGATCCCAAATAAAATGTTCATTTATCCAGAAATACATAAACTAATAATAAACTTACTAAGTGATAAATTAAATCTTTCATATTTCGTAATTTTGAAGCTAAAATATTATGTATAGTTTGAAGAGTCACTGTCTTCAGATGAATTTTATCATCGGGTATACTTTCACTATATTTTGCACGTTTATTACAATTCTTGGTTTGATTATTTTTAAAAGAATATTCATATTTTTTATGACCTATACTATATTTTGATTGACTAAAACAAATATCATAGACTAGATTGTGTATTTCACGACTGCTAAATGATAATGCTCTTGATCCAAGATTCCATATAGTAAGCTTTTTTTGTTTGATTGTTTGCATAGAATCATCAAATGGTAACTCTTCGTCAATTTCATCAATATCAGATCTTTCATCAGTGAAACCAGAAAGTAAAGGATGAAGACCAGTTAATAAGATATACAATAAAAGTGACGGTAAATGTGGTTGTCCTTTAGATAACATAGGCTTATTTTTATTATTGAATTGATCATTGATTATTCGATAAATAATCTTCTCATTTGACATTATATTATCAAGATTATCCAATGGTACTTTTAATTCTTGCCAAGAATCTGTATAACCATTTTTGTACTGTTCTTCCATCCATGATTCAATTAACCATTCATCAATTAAATTATGTAATTCTTCTGTTGATAATGGTTGACGAGAGCAAGTAAGTAGACCAAGTGTAATACGAGTTAATTCTGATCCACAACTACATTCAACTCGTTTGATAACATCTATCACTAAACTGGAGATTGTATCAGGTAGTTGTTTTAATTTTGCATCTAACTATTTAAGAATGGAAATTAAATAATTTAGAATTGATAACCATACTTAAAACTACAAACGTATTAATGCATATAAATCATTCGAGAGTCATATTGTTGATTTGTGCGAAAATGAGGTGTTAGTCAATCAGTTAGTAGCAACGTACAAACTGATACGTATGTACATTGGTTTCAGTTGCCATACCCCAATAGCACAGAGAGATAAAACTGTCAGGCAAAATCTCAGAGTATTAGAGGTAGTAACAGGATAAGTAGAAATAAAAAATATTGGATATCGGAGATACTATTTAAGCAAAATATAAATGAGTGGAATCAAACACTTAAATAATTACGAGGAATTCAGAAGCTCTGAATTCGAGGGAAGAAAACGAATGTATGTGCATAAGCCAAATGATTTTGAGTAGTATTGTGGTGTTGTCTACTTATATCTATATAAGTAGTATATGGTGTGGGTCAGGCATAGAATGTATTTTCGCTGAAGACCGATGAGGAAAGAACGTAAATGAAGCGCAATCATTTGGAAAATGCATGAGCAATGGAATAGGAGAAGAAACAGTGAAGATTGAAACAATTGGTTGTTAATTTGCAAATTGACTGTTCATTGTTTGGTAATCAGAATTTACTGAGATAGTCTGTAATTTTTGCTTAAATACATTCGATTGTCCCCAACCAGTGTTTTGTTCACTACAGTATCATTCAAGGTCCCTAACCACCGGTTATGATAATTACACCGACCCCTACCAGGTAGTCCATGCCTATAAACATGGCTTAATTCCACGCTCAAAAACTTCATGGACTAGTACCTCATTTTCATGTGGCCGTCCCTAGCTTTCTTCCAACCTACTCCTATACCAGACAAGATTGTCTGTAGAAGTAGGCGGTTGCTATGCATACGTGACACATATCCTAAACACCTCAGTTAGTGAAGATTTACTACCTCATCAATCAATTTGTTATCTTTTCTTAGTACCATATTCCTAAACCGGGCCACTGACTACTCTGCATTTCCAGAATACACGAGTATTGCTTCGAAGACACTTATGATCAAATAACAAGATGCTGCAATTACCAATATTCATTGGGAAAATCTCCATGAATAACTATCCTTCAATGTTATAGATAGCTGTGATATCAACAAACTGAATCCTTAAAGTACTGTATCAAACTAAAAATATCATATAAACACAGTCAAGTTAAAAGTTAAATGTACAAGATAGGACACTAACCTGTTCATAATTACTGTACAAACGTAATTCATCACAAGCCAATTTCAAATAAAGTGGAATGCTTGCATCCCGTTTTTGAATTAAAACAGATAACTAAGACGTAAAAAAACAAGCAACAATCAGATTAATAAAACAAATATCTAAGGAGTCCCACAATAGAACAAAACGGCAGTCCAGTGCTTCCAGGTTTTCCATGGTGGTCTAGCTTCAATTGACTTATGATCTCGACTATAAAAAGTATCTAAACCTTTTTTTCAAGCATTATAATCTACAGTGAAACCAATGAAAACACAATGATTAAACCACCTAGCCCAGATAAAAAAAACTACACTGAAATGATCCACCTCAGGTACACATATTCACCGCAATTTATAGAAGAAAGCATAGATCCATCATATTCAAGTGGATATCAGTAATATAATTCAATTAGCTATTCATCAAATATACATGTTCCCGTGATCACAATTGATTGATCACCATACAGTGATCAATCAATTGTGATTACATCTCAGTACTACAGGAGGTTGGTCGCGGCCCGAATAGCTCAGTGGTAACGTCTCTGACTGTGAAGCTGAGTGGGGCGGGATCGAATTCGCCAGGGAGCATCAGTTCCCTCAGGATTACAGGTACACCTTGCTGACGAGTGCCAAGTAGCACGAAACCCGAGTCCAGGGTTTCCTGTTGACCACCTTCAACCACCATCTTACCTCAATACATGTTCCCGTATTTGATTTTTCAGACAACCTTTAGTCGTTCTAAACCTTGTAACACTACCCAGCTGATTAGGACCTCTTTAGATAAATAGAATGAGATTTTGACTTGGAAGCTAGTTGGGCCCATTAATTATGAGGTCGTCAACAACAAATTATATGATCATATCTAGAACTAAACATAAAAAAATACATTTCTCTCCTGTAGAAATAACACAATGATCTTGAAGACATTTGAGGTATGAATAGTATGAAAGTTGACAGAGGGAATGTTGGGTATGTTAGATCCCCAGAACTCACTCGGTAAACGTCTTGTTTTTGGAATTTTATTTTGAAAATTTGAAATTTTGTTTTCGCACCAAAAGCATCCATTTTTACTTTCATGTAATATTTCTCATTTGGGAGGACCCTAAATGCTATTGGTTCGTTATCTCTTTTAATATGTTATATTGTGACGTTTTCCAAGGACATTTTTATGATGTATATATACACACTTGAATTGTGCTTGTTGTTGTTCGTGATAGTAGAATATACTTTCCCTCATCTGAACCTGGACTTCTTCTCCCTGTAGTTAGCGGGGCTGGGACGCAGTTAGAGTTATAAGTTAATGTTAGGATTTGCAATTATGGTTTGCATTCCAAACTGACATCAGCTTTAATGTCAAAATGTTACTTAACCAATTGGATTAATGAATTTCACGTTCAAACCCATGACGTGATATCTTTAGTTCCATTAGTTAAACCATAAACTATAGTCTCGCCACGAATCGACCAAACGAAATTATAACGACGATAATAAAGGATTTAACGTTGAATATATTGAACATATTAGTAAATCAGTTATTGTTTTGAAAACAAATTGATTCCTAGCAAAACAAAACATTGAAATGTACCTGATTTCGAAAACCGGATTCATTTAATACTTTTCCATATTTTCCGAGTAAACTACGTACAGCTGCACCACGTTCGTGTGTAGTTAGTCCAGATACAGTTAACAGTTGGCAATCAATTCGATTGCATAAATTACGAGCAACTGATGATTTGGAATCACATGTTAAAACAAATCGAACATTCTGTGAAATAGAATTTTCAAAATTAAACACTGAACAATCAATAATGTTGACACAATATCATAACGGCAAACAAATTGATATGAACAGATAGAATACGCAGTATATTAGAATTATTATATGGTGAGAAGCAGTTTTAAAAACATAACCTTTACGTATTTGTTGGCAAAGTCGATACATTTCAGATATCCCATGAGAAACAATTGCAAACAAAGTTCTAAAATATCCGTCCGCTTTGGATATTGATAAGTGAAGCTAATTAGAACTACAATTATTTGATAAGTATTACTGTTATCTCTAACACAACAAAGTACATATAAACGACAACATCGAGGATCAAACTCAGGACTTTTAGACCTTGTGGTGACAACATTGTTATAAGGCCAGTGAGTTGGCTAAAAAAAAAACTACAGATTCTCAGAATTTTATTGTTAGATAATTAAGAAGCAACTAACATAGAACAAGGAACAAATACTTATACACCTATGCGTACGCACGCAAACACACATATAGAGGAAATAACAGAAAGATTTGTTGTGTTTATAACCAAGTCGTTTTTTCTGAAAACTGTCATTCACCATGTCATGTATCAGATATTAGGGTTAAAAGGAAATACAGGTTTCAACATATTGAATAGGCATCCTTTATGTCCATTGTTTCATAACGATAGAACATCTCTCGCTCGGTGCTTTTTGAACATTATTTAGCAAACAGTAACTGTTAGGTCTTATGGCCCTGTCAATTATCACTTGAAAAAAGCGTTTATCAGCATACCGACTTCTATGACCTTGCTTCTGTGTTAAACCAATGATGCGACAACCAGCCTTGAGTCAACCCTGAGTCCTTATTGGTCCACTGTATGGTAACCTCTCGCCTAGCACAACCCGTTCAGTCTAGAACACAAATATCAACCTCCGCTGATATAATAGTAAATTATTAATGAAATATTTACAATACAACACATGAAAACCAACACTTACAAAATTAGGATAATTTTCTATCAGTTACGATCAACATGAAAACAATTTAACTGAATCAATTACCTTGGGTAAAATTTGTGGTAACCATTCTAAGGTCATTGGTTCCAATTGATCACAGTCATCAATTAAAAAGGCGAACTGAATATCATTTAAGTAACCAAGAAAGTTAATGAAACGTGCAAAGCACTGAATATAGAATCTATGGTAGAAATATACAATGATATTAATAGTAATAATAATAATAATAACATACTTAACAAGTTAGATAATAAATTATCAAATCATGATTCGGATCGACGAAGTTTGTTCAAATTCGTTCAATCTCACGAGTATTTACATTTAAGGATTAACAAAAGGTGGGAAATAATAAAAACCATAGATACCTCTATATTTCATCCTAAGTTTAAACTTCTCACCCATTCAAATTGTGCTGAATAGAATCTATTTATCTTAATAATATTCATGCTAGTTTAAACATGAATTTCCCGAATCTCAAATCAGAAACTACAACATGTTATCTTTTATTACCTTGAAGAAGTCCAGACAAGTTAGCTGGACGAAACGTTGAAATTATTTAAATTTCAATTGCTGAGATTGTGCCAAATATTATTTTTCACATATGATGACTTCCCTATACTTGGCGCTCAATATTTGTCAGGCTATTCGTTCTAATCTTGACGAATATTCTTATATGTTATTATTAACGTTATTATTTTAATGATTTGATGTCTTACTGATTGTAGTTTTTCCCCGTCGCCACTGATAAGTCCTGTTGATTGAACGTTAGATTCGGATCCTAAGTAAACAACTCAGATATAACAATTATCATTCATAATTGAGACCATAAACCAACCAATGTTAGACCAGTACTGAAAACCTGGAAGTGCTAGACTAACGTTTTGTCATAGTATGCAACTGCCCAGCAATACGCATCCACGATCCCTCACTCATGACTGTAACCTAGCACTAGAACTCCGAAAACTACCTCCCGAAGCTGGTCAGTAGTGAACACATAATAATTATTAAACTGTGTCAGGTGTAAGGTGGTTACTGACCGAAGACAATGGACGATGGTCGCGCAATATCGTAGATTGGTTGGAGTTAGACACAAACACAGCTAGATCCCGGCTCAGTAGTCTAGAGGTTAAGTGTCGGCTCAAGACAAAAGGTCCTAGGTTTGAGACTGCGTTAGGGATCGTGAATGAGGTCTAAACGCCCGTCCAGTGCTTTCAGGTTTTCAATAGTGGGCTAAAATTTACCGGTTCATGATCTCAATTCAAAAACACATTATTCTCCACAACCCTATACTGATAGTTATCAAATGATTATTCTTTGAATTTTGACAATTAATTCTTTCATATTCACTTGATATTGTTTGTTTGAATAATCTCATTGATTTTTGGGACTGCAAATGATCAGTCTCTTATTGGCATATGTGCATACTGTGCGTATTGAATTGATATAGCCTTAATTCGCAAGCATTATAGGCAAAGATGGATAGTTGCTAGCAGCGGAATCCAGTTTGAAGCGCGCTTCGTCCTAGTCGGGACTCGTCAGCTGGATGTAGCTGCATCTCAGTTGATGTTCACTTAGTGTTGTTTACTTGTATCTTCCGATTGTTATTTATGACTGCAACTGATCAGTCTCTCAGTGGCTATCAGGACTCAGTAGCTGAGTGGATAACGCGATGGTGTTTGAAGCGAAAGGTACTGGGTTCGAGTTCTAGAGTGAACATCAACTCTCAGATGAAGATGCATTCATCTAACGAGTCCTAAATAGGACGAAGTGCGCTTCAAACTGGATTCCACTGCTAGCCATTAACCATCTTGGCTTTTAATTCTTTTATACTTGAGATCATGAGTCAATTAAAGCTAAACCACCATGGAAAACCTGGAAGCACTGGACGGCTGTTTCGCCCTAATGTAGGACTCCTCAATAGTGCGCATCCAGGATCCCGCGCCCACGAGATTCGATAGGTCCTGGGTTCGAATCTCGAACTTACAAAACAAATAAAGAATTCATACAATGAAATAATCATGATTGAATTATATTACTTACTTTAAATCCATATTAGAAGAGATTTTATCCACATTGAAAGATAATTTCAATTCATTCAATAATTTTTTAAGAATATCATTACAATTACAAATATTATCAAGTTGAATAATTAATAGATTTAACCAATACTGAAGGATTTCATTCAATTTCTTATTTGATGGTAAACCAGTTATGGATAGACCATTACAAAAATGTATCAATATTTGATGTTTAACAAATAATGGACGTTGTGATGTAATCAATTTTGAATGATCTATTGAATCATTCATGAATGATCCAGTTGAATTTAATTTAGTAGTAAACTTATTTTGTATTGTTTTATTCATGGGAATGGATTTATACCAATTAGATTCTATTAGGGATAATGTTAAAGCTGATAAATAAGTAGTTTTACCACTACCATTTGATCCAACAATTAAAAGGATACTACCATCACAACCTTGAAGCCAAAGAGATCAAAAAAAAAGAAAACAACGAGAAAGAAAATGATTTGAAAGTATGAGAATTCTTGGCATAAAACAATAAAATTCTGTTGAATGAAATGGTCATTCATTTACTCAGTATTCGGTATAGTGCTTACATTTAAAGTGATTCAATATGGCATACATATTGACTGTGAAAGTCATTGGTAATGAACAGTTGTCGTTTTAGAATATGGTGGATTGGAAATGTACACTATTATTACGTTTACAGTTCAGTGTATAGTTTGAAAGCATTTCAATTGTTAGAAAACGTGAACATCTTAAATTTGATTACTGTCAAAGTAATACTACATAACCTGTGTTAAACAGTCGTCCTTTGGTGGCACTGTATTTGACTCCACTTATATCGTATGATGATGATTGTTAACAAAATAAACCTGCCTCCCACTACATTTGACCTGAAGGTATGATCCACAAGACAGTGGAGCAACCTCAGAAGATGCAGTCCCACGATAGTCGGTGACCGATGGCCCACGCCATCTGTTCTCTAAGGATTGTGGAGCCCATGCATCAGGGTTTTCCAAATCCCATAGGTGAACTCTCTATGCCCACCAACCCGGTTAAAGAGCCGGACATTCACTTTTCATCCACTCAATTTCTTAAACAACACCCTCGCCACGAGAAGCCAGTGAGTAGGACTTGCCTAACAGAGACTGTTTACGCGTGGCCATGTGAGAGCATTTCGAGAGAGGGAGCTGATTCTCCCCATCCTCATCCGTACCAGGGTATTTAGGGGCTTACTATTGAAAAATTTAAGTATCCTTAAGTCCCTTATCAATCTTGAAAAAAATCACTTTAAAATTGACCGGTCAGATTTTAAGTATCAAATAATCAAATTCACAATCATTTCATTTGATGGGTTTCTTTTTTAGAAAAAAAAGTATTACCTTGAAGGTTTGTTGGATAGTTTGAATTGTTTTGCACACTCAATTTGTTTTCAGTTGATTGGATTGCACGAGTTAAATGAGCTCGACGACCACGTTCAGTTAATGAATTAAAGGCTTGTTCCACTTCAAGGAGATGACGTGGTCCAATAGCGCAAGCAGCTGAATAAACATATTCTCGTAAGAATTCAATAGTATTCAATGATTTATTAGCAGTTATAGGCAAATTATGATCATTATTATATATCTGAAAAAAAAACATGATAAAATGGAAAATAAGTTTAGAAAACTGAACTAATAGTCTTAAATCAGTTATTTATCACATATACAGGGGTATAGATGAACGGTAACATGTAAAAATAACAAATCGGCTGATGACGAAGTTCAGGTATCAATTTTCTGTTAGATATACCTAGTGAAGATATGTAGTTTAAAAAGTAGTGTCGATTAAACGAAAAAAATAGCATTAGTACATGTATATATCAAGCTACTGACTGTTGAAACCGGTCACATCATCGGATGCAAGCTTTCAGTTCGATGACCATAAAGTAATTTCAATCTATGGTTAGTGCTGTGTTTGAAGATATTACGAGACCTAAATCAGGGAACGCAACGAAGACTCAGCGACACATTGACAAGACAGATAAATTATTTCAATGCGTCCCAGCTCCGCCAACTACAGGGAGAAGAAGTTCAGGTTCAGATGAGGGAAAGTATATTCCACAAGCACGAACAACGACAAGCACAACTCAAGTGTATATATAAAGCATAAAAATATCCTTGGGAAACGTCACAAAATAATATATTCAAGGAGACAATGAACCAATGACATTTAGGGTCCTCTCAAATGGGAAATACAATTCGATTGTAAAAATGGATGTTTTTGGTGCGAAAACAAGAAATTCGAAGTTTAGAAATAAAATTCCAAAAACAAGACGTTCACAAAGTGAGTTCTGGGGATCTAGCATCTCCAACAGTTAGATTTCGATGTTTATCTTGTTGTGCTAATGAGGTATGGCAACTTGGACCGATCCATATATATGCTTGGTTCTACGTTGTAGCTGACTGACTGACTGAATACCACATGCAAATCTAATGGATGGGATAACATACTAATGTGTATAATTGGTACCATTACATAATAATAACAATAACAATAACATACTTATCATCAATTTTACCGATTATAATAAAACAGAAACTTACTGGAGTATTATCATTATCATTATGAAATAGACGTAGAAGTAAAGATTTAACAGTTGCAAGAAATTGACTTCCGAATTCATCTAAATTCCCCATTACTGGATAATCATTTATTAAACCATTGAATTGAGCTGAATAACTAAATCGAGAAATACACACAAATACGTTAGTTAGACAATAAATAAATGTTTAAAATAAAGGATTACTAAATATAAATTGTTTTCGAATTGACCACATTGTAGCTTGAACGAAAGATGCTGTTCAGTATTGAGGACTGAATGATATGATAGTGGTTATCACTTGATGATAAATTAATAAAAATATTTCAATCAAATAGTCAATCGTAGCTCAGTGAATAACGTCTCTAACTGTGTCACTGAATAATGCGGATTCGAACACTACAAGATACACAAGTAACATGGCCTTAAGAGTAAAAGAGACTCGTAACCTACTAGTATTTGACCACAGATGTCTTAGAAACATTGTTCGCATCTGCTGGAATAACCGAGTAAGTAATAGTGAGGTTAAGGAATGATGGGGAATCAGTTGGTGAGGTCATGAATCCTCATCGACTGAGATGGTTGGGCCACGTGTTACGTATGTTTAAACACCGATTAACACAACGCGTTATGCTGACTAGTATAGAGGATGGCTGGAAAATAGTTAAGGGCGGCCAAACCAAAACGTGGCATCAATGCTTGAAGTCAATAACTTCTAGTCTGAACTATGTTGGTAGATGCAGACTATTTAGTTAGGGTCCGCATGACTATCGTTACCAATGGTTGGAGAGTCTAGGTGACATAGCTCAGAATCGATCACAATGACGTAGGTGTCTATACACTCTTTATCTTCCCTTAAACTGTGAAATTAAAATTGCTTCTGTTATATACTAGGAAAAAGTAAGTACTGATAACTTACGGGACCTCTTATTAGACTATTCATCTATTTATATTCCTATGGTATAACTATTCAGTAACTAGATTATTCAAGCTTTATTTTGACCTATTGATTATTACTATGTGATTTACTGTCCCTATGTTATGCTCAGTTTTATTGATTATTGTCTCCCACGCTTACAGCCTCATTTGCCCTGGTTTTGTACAAATATTATTTTCTATTTTATGGTGTGGTGTGGTCTGCATGTCTGGTATATAGACAAAGTATGTTTGAAATAAACGATTCGCATTACAGCAGCTGCTATTGGTGTTCTGGACTCAAGTGGACGGGTTAGGCGGATAAAGACTAATAAGGACGCTAGATTACTCATATTAATCGAACGTCATTGTCACAGTGTGAAGGTCGTAGAAGGCGTATTCTATTGGTGGATAATTTACGCGGATTACGTCCTTGTTAAATTCGTAAGGTCATAACGAATCAGCGACGACCTTGATCAAGTCATAACAATTGGCTACAGTCAAGGTCAAAAACATAACAGCTTCATATCTGTCTTCCTTCCTGTACTATATCCTTATATACAACCTTTCTCCTGTATATTACCACCACTAAATTAACTACTTCTATGGATTCGGTGTTCATCTTGTTGTGCTAACGAGGTATGGCAACTTGGACCGATGCATATATGTGCCTAGTCCTACGTTGTAGCTGAATGACTGACTACGTTCATAAATTCATAGTTGTCACCTTTGTTTCCTTTGTACTATTTAAACTTGTGTCAATTTAATTTCGATCACCTGTTTACTATGAAGAAGTGGCTTGAATTAAGTTAAGAAACGTCAGAAATACAATTTTTTCTACTAATGGAGATATGAGGGGGTTTTGTGGAGAATTCAGTATTTTCACAGTTGAAATCATGAGTCAATTGAAGCTAGACCACCATCGAAAACCTGGAAGCACTGGACGGGATCGTGGATGCGCACTGCTGAGGAGGACGAAACGGCTGTCCAGTGCTTCCAGGTTTTCGATGGTGGTCTAGCTTCAATTGACTCATGATTTCAACTGTGATAATGGAGATATAACAAAATAAAATATATTCATTATTAACTCTCTAAGCAATGCTCAATTTATTTGAAACTATCAAGTCCAACCTTGGCATTGATACCTATATCACGTTTTTTGTTGTTATTCCTCTCACAGAAATACACTCTACAATGATTTATATACATGAATGTTTATACGAAAACTCTAGACCAATCAAGGCTATTTGGGTCAATAATGTCAATGAAATAGAATACGTCACCGAGCATAATAGGTAAAAGTACAAGTTGATAGTGGGAAGATAGGTGTACTGATATTGGTAAGAATATTAAATTACGATAACAAAAGTATTATCAATAGTTAAACATAGGAAAATAGGAGGTCAAATGTGGTGATTTATTTGTAAAACATAACTTTTAATAATAAAAGACTTCTGTATATTGTAAATACCTGTCAACCATGTCTTTAGGCTAAACCCTATTACACATAAAATAGAATCACAGAATGAGAGATAGTAATTATGAGAGTGAATTGATAGGTAAATATGTAAAACCAATTTATCGTAATTTTCTATGCGCAAGTTTAAATACTTGGCTTTCAGCTAAGCTTTTAGTGCAAGAGCTACAAAAAGGAAGACTAAACTTGATTAGGAAAGGTTCAAAACCTGCGACCGATAAATTGTTAACAAAGCACGTAATCTAATAAGCCACTTACCTTAACATATTAGTTAATGCAATTTTTAGAAATCTACAATAATTTTTGAAACGTATACTTGTTGTATCCCGTGGATAATTATGAATGGTAACTCTGAGGACTATTTATGGACCAATGTGATATGTATATTTCCTATGTCGAGGCAATACGCACAGTATGCACATATGTCAATTAGAGACTGATCAACTGCAGTCCTAAACATCAATGGGAAGATCCAAACAAACAATACTAAGTAAATTTGAACTTCACCCCATTGCACAAGCAAGTGGTTATCAGGACTCAGTGGTCGAGTGGATAACGCGATGGCGTTTGAAGCGAAAGGTACTGGGCTCGAGTCCCAGAGTGGTCTGTTTGTTTGGTTAATAAACCCAGTGTGTTTGAAGAAAATGATTCATATTGTAGAGGCTGTTATTAGTGTTCTGGACTTAACTAGCTGGGCTGGGCAGATAGCAGGACTGATAAGTACTCAAGACTGCTCATACGGCTTTTTTGTATCATAGCTCTGATAAATAAATCACTGCTTTTTAATTGGCGGTCTTATCACGTTCATATAATATATTGAAATATAAGGTAGATTGACTTACTTATAACTAATAATAACACCATCATTACGAATTAATTCTTTGAATGCGTTAAGACGATTACGTTTTTCAATATCATATTCTTCAAAATAATGTTTTAATTCATCTGGTACATTTCTAAAAATAGAAATTTGTAAATGTATCAGTTTAAAACAATGTTTCTACATAATTATCTTTGAAATATACCAGTGAGTTCATTAATATACAGGCGAAATTGATCAGACATGTCAAATGCTCTTGAAGATAGAAAAATTATCACATATATTGTTACAATGCAATTATTTATCAATAAAAGACTATAATATACACTTAACCAACTGCCCTCGTACGGCCGGAAGTGGGAAGAAATTAGTTCTCCTTCTCAAAATGCACTCATATGGTCACGTGCATACAACCACTCCCAGGGAAAACCTACTCACTGCCCTTTCGCGGCTTGTTGTTTACGAAATTGAGTGGATGAAAAGCGAATGTCCGGCACTTTAACCAGGTTGGTGGACACAGAGAGTCCACCTAAGGGAGTTGAAAACCCCTGATTCTAAACCAATGGTGCACGTGAGCTGCACAATCCTTAAGGAACAAATGGCGTATGAACCTATTGTTGTTTATTAGTTATCATGAGATTCCATCTCCTAACGTTGCTCCACTGCCTCGTAGATTAGACCATTATATCAAAGGCTTCGGGTGTGGCCCCCTAAGAAAGCCACCTGCTTCGGTCTGGACACCCGGACAGTATCCCAGTCGTAACACAAGTCAAGTGATTTATGTGGCGCATATCTGTTTGGTACTTCATTGTACCAATGTTTATGTGTTTAAATAAATAATAAATAACAAGAATATTGCATTGTATATCTGTTATATTTAAAATAAATTCTTAAATATATTCATCATGCTCTTATTGGCAATTACTTCATTTTTCTGATATGGAAGAAAGTAACTCCATAATCAAGTAAAATCATAATAAAAAAGTACTAACTATTGAGATATATGGTCTTCGTTCATGTACTATAGTCAGCAGTCATTTGATGTCAAAGTATGAAACTTGTATGGAGTGCAAAATAACAAACCTATATCTTTTTAAAGAAAAAAACACATCATCGTCATCGCCTTATGCAAATTAGTCAAAAAGATATGTAAATTTCTCTTGCATTTGATTAGAACTTACTCTATAGATGCTGAATCTCTAATGAAAACACAAATTCGAAGACGTATCGCCTCATGGAAACTTATTGTATTCTGCTGTCGTCTTTCATGAATAGGGACTTTAGATATGGCAGCTTGTCTAGCCATATGATATTCCATTTCAGTCATAGACATTCCAGGTTTATAAAATTTACACACTTCAGATAATAATGATTCAGGTAATGCCATAACTTCAGTTTCGTCTGGTATACAACCATAACTGGAAAAAAAAATAAAGAAAAGTATGGGGAGTTCATGTAAATTTAAAATCTAGTCAAGACAACAGAGTACATTTCTGAATGGTATTCGAAATATTCTATTCAACAAATCTTTCAGAATTCCCATAACTTTCTAGAAGGATGATCAAAATGTAATTACCAATACAACTCTTGTTAGCAATAAACTAATCTATCCTGATACCTATAAATAATATCTAATACAAATTGTTGAGTGAATTTTCAAATATATATACCAGTATCGCACAGCAAATATAACTCACATTTTGGTAAACAACATGGAAGGCAACTACTGTAGTTACTCTTTCTTGGTTATCATATAGAATGATTTCTGAAGCACCAATTACAGTGACGAGTTACGAAAACATATTTGACAGAAATGACTGTGAATATGTTTCATGGTATTTCGGTACCAAATATAATAACAAACCAATCGGAATGGGTTTTGTGGAGATTTCAGCATTTTTCATAGTTGAAATCATGAGACTATTGAAGCTAGACCACCATGGAAAAGCTGGAAGCACTGGACGGCCGTTTCGTCCTATTATGGGACTCCTCGGCAGTGCACGTCCACGCATCCCGCACAAACCAATCCTATATCACTAATATTGTTAGACTATAAAACCATAGGCTTCAATATATAAATGGAGTTGACGAAAGTATTAGCTATGATCAACACATACAACAGAAAAGATTAATGAATATTTCACAAATATTTAATAAACCATTTGAAGCTGGACCAGTAGTATAGAGGGTTTAAGAGTCTTTATATGAGACCGATGGTCCTGAGTTTAATTCTTAGTTACAGGGTTGTAGTTGCCCACTACTGAGAAGTCCCATACTATAATAGAATGACCGTTTAGTGCTCACAATTTTTTTAATAGTTGTCAAACTCAGATCAGTTTCTGATTTCAATAAAACATTTAATAGTTATAAACAGAGATGGATGGTTGATAACAATGGAATAAACGACACGTGCCCCGTCTTATTTAGGCCTCGTCATATGGATTTTCCTGAATCCAAGAGTTGATGTCCACTTTGGGACTCGAACCCAGTACCACTCGCTTCAAATGCCAACGCGTTACCCACTTAGGCAATATCCAAGCAATCCCTCATAGAATGCACAGATGCCAATAAGAGACTGATGAATTGCAGTCCTAAACATCAATGGGAAAATTCAAATAACCAATACAAAAAATGAATTATTTAGTAGATATGCAGAAAAAATTGACAAAAAAGAACACGATAGTATTACCGATCACCCAATAATAAGACAAAAATATCACTAGCAGCCGCTTGTTCTAAACATATCTGTAATGCTTGTGAATTGTATGTAACTGGTTCAGGAACACCCCAACGTAAATCAATTTCATTTAAATGTACACGTAAACCTAACGCAACATTTCTACGTAAAGCAGGTACAAGTATACCACATAATAGATCACGTTCAGCGTGCATATCACGAAATGTAGATGAAATAAACAACTGACAGCATTTCCATCTAAAGTATAACAACAAAAAAATGAGATATGTTGATGAATTCTTGAAGACAGAGAAACAGTGAACAATATTAGTGTTCTTTTTTGGAAAAGTATTACATTTGACAGTGGGTAATGTATTAATGAAATTCAAATACTAAGTTTACATTCAGGTATACATAATAAAGATTATCGAAAAGAAACTATCGACAGTTCAAATAGATGAAGAGAGGTTTTTAAGTATTAAGAAGAATAACTATTGCATACACAGTTTAGTTGTAAAGATAGTAAGATCAGTAACTTATCATTAGTTGGGATACATTTGTACCGTTTAACGAAAACATACGTGCCTAAAAAACAATTTGTTTAGGTAGAGTTCTAAGTTTTTCCGAAATACTAATATTGATTTGTTACATGTCAGAATAAGACTGAAGGAGTCCCAAAAATATCTCTTGTCAAATCCCTAGAGGCTCAGAGACGCAAAAAAACTTTATATTCAACCAGATTCGGATAGAATACTCGCAGAAACATCTAGAACATACAGAATCAAGTGTCATAGTTTTGGTTTTGATATTTACTTGTACTGCTACTATATTTAATATAGTCCCAGAAATTTCCAGAAGCTCAAGACCAGGTTTAATACTATAAATACCCATTTTTCTGTACATAAACTAATCCTGGAGTAAAGCATTATTCACATATTGAGTATTCTTTCTAGTTTTCTAGTTGAAGTGTAGAAGTTGGAGATATCAGAACCCGGTAGGAAAAGTTTAAGCGTGTCGGCAGCAAGAATTATTAATTGACGATGGGAAAACTACACTAAACACTACCTTAGGACAATTAGAAATTTACTTGGAGCTCTAGGCTGAAAACAACTTGAACAGTCTAAAATAAGAGTCATGGAAGCTCTCTAGCATATGTGCATACCCTAGTAAAACCATACATCTAATGAGGCGCAAATAATAAATACCGATTCTGTCATTAAATCCATTTATAAATTTTTACTTTGATGGTCTAGTTGACATTACTTTAGACTCATAGTTTAAGAAAAATGAGGATCTGTTCTGTATTGATTGCAATAGATTGAATAACGCTTCAAAAGTCATAATACTTGGAACAACAGAACATGAGCGCTATAGTAATTTTATTCTTCTAAATAATCCACATGAATTTACTTTTAATGAAGCAATTAAAAGATCACTATGAAGTTTTATAGCTTTACATCATCATTGAAAAATTCAGAACATCGATAAAGGAAACTTGTTTAGTATTATTCAAATGATTCTAAGTCATGCAAAAAAATTATCTACCTTCAAACTATCATATAAGTCAGTCAGTCAGTCAGCTACAACGTAGGACCAGGCGCACATATGCATCCGTCCAAGTTGCCATACCTCGTTAGCACAAAAAGATGAACAACGGATTCATAGAAGTAGTCAATTTAGTGATAGTAATATATAAAAGATAGGTTGTATATAAGGATATAGAATAGGAAGAAAGTTATGAAGCAATCTTAATTCCAAGGTTTAAGGGAAGATAAAGAGTGTATACACTTGCGCCATTGTGATCGATTCTGAGCTATCTCACCTACAGTCTCCAACCATTGGTTACGATAGTCACGCGGATCCCGACCAAGTAGTGTGCATCTACCAACATGGCTTAGACTAGAAGTTAATGACTTCCAGCTCTGATGCCACGTTTTGGTTTGGCCGCTCCCTAAATGAGACTATCATATAAAGATTAGATCAGATCATTTTAAAAAAATTTAAAAAAATACTTACCCTGATCTAAAATAATCATGTTTAGATAATATACTATTATCAAGATTTTCTTGTGTTTTTGTTTTTAAATTAAAATGATATGAAATATTTTTATTTAATCCATAGATTTCATCTATTTCTTCAATACGTTCAAGTAATTTATCTTCATTTGGTTCAGCAATATAACGTAGAATTTGATCTGTACATCCTTTGAATTCAATCCAACCATCTTTACTACATGAATTTGGCCTTTAAAGAAAACAAGACAAAGATATAAAGTGATTGATATCATTTATTCACACTAGTGTTATTGTAGCAAGTGAAAGAGACAATTTTGTTGTAAATAAGCTCATTTTGTATTGTCTGTTTGTATCTTCTCACTGTTGTTTAGGACTGCAATTGATCAGTCTCTTATTGTTATATGTGAATCCCGTACGGATTACTTGATTATTGCTTTGAATCACAAGTTGCTTGAAGTCAGACATTAACAACGTTGGACGCCGGCTCAGTGGTCTAGTGGTTAAGCGCTCGCACGCGAGACTGATAGGCCCTGGGTTCGAATCTCGCGAGGTGGGATCGTGGATGCGCACTGCTGAGGAGTCCCACAATAAGACGAAAAGGCCGTCAAGCAGTGCTCCCAGGTTTCCCATGGTGGTCTAGTTCCAATTGACTCACGATTTCAACTATATTAAATCACAAGTATTATGAGCAAATATGGATGGTGGCTAACAGTGAAATCCAGGACCCACGTTTCACCCTATTCGGGACTCGTCAGTTGGATGTACCTGCATCTCACAGTTGATGTTTACTATATGACTCGAACCCAATACCGCCCATTTCAAACGCCATCGCGTTATCCACTTTGCTACTAAATCTTGATAGCTAAGTGGATAACGCGATGGCGTTTGAAACGAACAGTATCTGGTTCAAGTCCCAGAGTAAACATCAACTCCGAAATGCAGGTACATCCAGATAAACTAACTACGTAAATAAAATACCAAGTAATGAACACTTACCATACGTCTTCACCGCTCAAATTCCCCCAGATTGCTTTCAATGGTCCAATGTATGTCCGATAATTGATAACATAATCAACAATTTCCTTATGACAATCGCCAAAGACAACAATTTTATCAAACTAGAACAAAAAAACAATAAACCATTAACCAATCATTGGAAAGTAGTATAAATCTGACGAAAAATAAAGGTATGTATGTGAAATGTATAATAATCAACGGACGCATACAAATAAGAATTGATGAAGAATAATCATTTGAAAATAGATAGAAACCGTAACGAAAATTCGTTTACAACGGTAAAACCTGGCAAATTGAAATCTCCATCTAACCTATAGTTCAGTTAATGAACAAGGTAAAGTAATGCATAAATCACATGTGCAGGAGATCGATTGAAAGAATAAACGAATCATTCATTGAACCACTGACTTGGAGATGGTCAATCGATGAATTTACTGAAAACTTGAAGAATCCAATGACGTCACGAATAATCGATTAGATAGTTTGGAAAGTAATATTCGATATTTTCTAAACACTGATCACTATGTATAGTGATCGAGAACTCAGGTGAGGAAAACCAACTAGACAATATCTTCGTAAATTATGAGAGCCAAACATAAAAGACTTCATTTGCAAATATTGTATCAATTGTCTTTTAAATTCTGTATGACCCTTCCAATTCACGATTCCTTCCCATTTCTCTTCCCGCTTTTTTCAATTTGATCTCTTTATCTTTCTCCTGTCACATATTTCACTTCTGATTGGTGTTACATACTACTTATATCTGTCTACATAAGTAGCATACACCACATGTAAACAACATGTAATCTCTTATTTTCCAATTAAATTTGATAAACTTATGGGTGACATGTCACTTTTATGATAATATTATCATCAATAATACGTCATAATTGTACAAAAACACATTAGAGAACATTAAACAGAACAAAGTTATAACAATGTGAACAAAACACGTAAGATTAACAAATCTATGGTAGAGTAGAATAAGAACAACTGATCTAAATTTTAAAAATAAATAAATAAATAATGTTATATAGCTGAGATCATGAGTCAATTGAAGCTAGACCACCATGAAAAACCTGGCTCCATGAGGTATTTCCTGGAGTTCTAGTGAGAAGCAGTGACCAGTAGAGTTCAACCAGGTCTGTTGGGAGATATCAACTCACTGAAGACAATCGGTGAATGGTTACTCAATTTCGTGGATCGGTTGAAGTTAGACATTAACACCGTTGAATGCCAACTCAGTGGTCTATCGGTTAAGTGTTCTGGCGCGAGACTGGTAGGTCATGGATTTGAATCTCGCCAGGCGGGATTGTGGATGCGCACTGCTCAGGAGTCTCACAATAGGACGAAACGGCCGTCCAGTGCTTCCAGGTTTTCCATGGCGGTCTAGCTTCAATTGACTCATGATCTCAACTATATAAAATTACTAAAATCTCCACAAAACCCCCCTTCTAAAAATAAATAATGCTGAATAAAAACTTGAATGCACAGCTTCAAAAATCTAGAATTAAACATTCAATCAATTAGAATAAATTCTACATTAAACAGATGTACGTACCTGTTTCCGATAAGCATAGAGTTTCTCAAAAACAGTCGTAATTGAAGTAGATCTAAGTGACTGGTAAAGAAAAAAGAAAAAGAAAACAGGCTCACAATAAAGTTACACATTTCTTTACATACACATTTTGGATCTTATTAAACTATGTGCAGAAACTAAACTTCAAAATCATGAAATCATTTTGGAAAACAATCGACTATCAAGGTCATATAGAATTATTATGCGCATCACTGAAGAGTCCCACGACGGGACGAAACAGCCGTCTAATGCCTCCCTATTTTTTAATGGTTATCTAACTTATGTTGGTTCGTGATCTCAATGACAATTTATAAATACTTAAGTATTCTCCTACTGTATTATAATCGGTACCAGAAGTAAATATATTCTTGGCTGTTATTTATCTTGGCTATAATTGTGAACTTGGGGGGAGAAGAATTAATAATCATACATTAGATATGAATCGGCATTCCTGATGGTTATGTTTATTGAGTCATTTACTTGAATCATACTGTAGTTTCACCGCAAATAAAACAATCCTAATATACCATCTAAGTCAACTATCTGAAAACTGATACAAGTAACTGAGAACACAACTAAGTAATCGAAACGATTCATAAAATATAAAACGTTTATGAGCTGACATTTTCCTTAACCAAAAACAAACAATGAAGTTTATTCAAAAACACACTTGGTAAATAACATCGAAGCATAAAATTTGAAACTTACCTTACGTCTTTTATACATTTGCTTTGTTCTTTCTAAAATGCCCATACTTTTACGTTTAGATCGATATTCATTTTGTTTCCAGCCGCAAACATCTGAATCTTTATCATAATTGTTTAAAGTCTGTTTTCCTCTCAATACAACTTCAATTGGGGTTAGATTGTATTGATCATCAACTGTAACATAGGTTGTAGGTGTTTCACATATCGACGTACACATTGCACCAAGAAGGAAGCCTAGAATTTTTATCTATTAAGTAAACAAAAAATGATTAGTAAAAGACACATCTTTTTAGGATCAAAATTAATTTGTTATTACTGATGTTATTATCTCTCCTATTACGACCTAGATACTCTTATCACTTAGTATTCTTTGAACACTACTCAACAAGTTCACAAATGAGCACATGGCTGAAAAGGAAAGTAATTATATTCTAAATAAAACAGGTTAGATGGAAGTAGGAATCACAATAAGAAAAACTGTATATTTATAATTTTACACAAGAAGATTTCAGAGCATTTTCCAAGTATTCGCTAGAGCTGATTGACTGAGAAACGGCCAATGAGTATGCCCCAGCACAATCCTTCAAGGAACATGACGTAATTTAATCTACATTCCACTAACAACTGGACAGAAACTTATGTGGTAAGCATTAGGTCGTACGTTTCATATGAGGGCCAAGCATACTATTCCGTTCCCCACACAGAAGTAAATGGGTAGTAGTTCAAAATTGGAAGCTAATAGTTTTTAGTTCAGCATTTTACTACTAAATCACTGTTTCCATGCTATTGTAGTGAACGGAGACTTGGTGGAAATAACCAATTTACTGTTTAAAGCTAAATTAAAAAGTACATTGCATACATCATTTGTACATCTTCCTTCAGTTGTCTTTTACATGATTCAAGATTCTTTCAATTTTGTTGTTATCATGATTGCTCTATGTTTACCTTCCTGTTCTCTTCAATTCAATCTTCTCAATCTTCTACTGTCAGGTCTTTCACTTCTGATAGGTGTTACATACTACTTGTATTCGCCAACATAAGTGGCACATATCACACTATTACATTACCAATGTAATCTACCACCTATATACATTGAGGTGATACTTAAAGAGATGCCTATGTATCACAAACATCATGATGTAGTGTATGCGACTTATGCTGATAGATATAGGTATGATATGGTATGGCGGCCTGCTTGAAAATCTGGGTTACCTGTTCCTGCCATCAAGATATTTCAACAAGTTATTTATTTTTGTTTGTTTTAATACATCGTTATGGCTGTTAATCGCATCACCTATTGAGGTGCGTTTCTGAAAAGTGTACAACCTTTCGTTGTACAAGTTACAAAACGCCTAATCAGAGATATCGTGGTCGCTGGAAATATACGGTGAAAAAAATGTACATTATTTAGATGTTGATTTATTGAACTGCTAACATAACTGGTGATCACTCAATATTTATTGTCAGGATCGACCAAGAAGTAAGAAACGAAAGCTTGTTGAAGTACTTTGTGCTGAGAATTCTATATCGTACCAAAAATATAATACTGAATGAAGCTAATAATAATAATTATTATTATTACTATATGTATCCTCAATCGGAAGTGGACTGCCTGTGAGCAGAGGATCGGATTGAAGAGAACAAAGAGAAAATCGAAGAGAAATCAAAATAACAAAAGTATTAGAGGAATAATGGAGTATGTAAAAAACAACGTGAAGATGTGCAAATAATGTATTTAATGTATGATTTTCATATTTTACTAATCCACTGTGTAATTTCGCATCAAACAATAAGTTGGTTTTCCCCACTCAAGTTTTCGTTCACTACATTTGGTGTCGCTACCAAAAGAGAGGCGAAGAGGGTGCAGTTCTGCAGACGCTGTTGTGGGGCTGGATGTAGAGTCGCTAGTTGGTGCGGTCTGGTGCAGGGAGGAGACTGTCGCTATCGACAGAGAAAAGTGGCACGTCCGGCAGCTGACGAACATAGGATTTAGATGGCCTAGCAGGTCGTCATAGCTACGGAGAATAGCATGCCGGAAGACTCGACATTTCGGCAGGAGGCGTATCACAGATTGACAAAAATAAAAAAGCGCCATGGAGAGCAGAATGACCACAAGAGTGACTTTCATTTAAAGGGAGGATGAGTGTGGTGCTACTTGTATTTGACGAATACAAGTAGTATGTAACACCTATCAGAAGTGAAAGACCTGACAGTAGAAGATTGAGAAGATTGAATTGAAGAAAACAGGAAGGTAAACAGAGAGCAATCGTAATGACAACAGAATTGAAAGCATCTTGAATCATGTAAAGGACAACTGTAGGAAAATGTGCAAATGATGTATTTAATGTATGGTTTTCATGTTTTATGAAAGTACTTTGTGATTTTTCACTAAACAATAAGTCGGTCTACCTAACCTGAGTTCTCGTTTACTACAATGATAATTTGATAAATAAACTGTAAATAAAACTGTTACAGGACAAAAGGGCTTATGTTACCGCTGAACCTATCTATAGAATATAAAGTATAAATTGACAGACATTCAGTAGAGCTTTGATTTTTCCAATAACAATATATTGAATTCTATTGGTTACAAAGTCTTCAGTAAATGATTTAGAGCTCTTGATACTTGACACTGTCAAAGTAATTCCCTTTCATGATATATCAGTTGCAAAATTTATAAAAATCCGGAAAATTAAGTAATATCAACCTTTACAAAATATGGTGGAGTTTGTTAAATGTTACCAAAATACAACTTAGCGGAGATTAGTTTTCCAATGTACAGATTTTTCAGAATATGATTGAAAATAAAGAATGAATTAGTATAGTGTTCTACTTCCTTCCGTCGGTAGTAGTCACATATCAAAAACTCACAAACTTTACGACTTAATTAGCAATAACATCGATCATAACAATTAATGTAACGGTTGTGAACGAAATCCTACCTTTCCTAACGAATTTCACTAGTGTAAATATGAAGGCATCGAGTCACAGCTTTGATGTTTAAACTATCAACAATACCTGACTCTATAAACCAAACTAGATGGGGTGCGATTGGAAGTTAAGTGTTTTGACAAGTAAACCCAGATTCCACAATACTCTTATGGATACATATGCATGATCTGTGTCCATAGATTGAATGGGCCTAAACAATTCACAAATTGCTGCACGATCAGACAGATCATATGATTTCCCATGGGAAAATGGTAAGTTGGAAATCCTCGAGTGAGCGAGCTATCCTGAATAAATGGGTGAATAATTTTCCTACCTATGGTCATCACGCGTATATCCCTGCACGAAACAGACCAGTATCCTACAAGCATTTGTCTTACGTACACCATAATCTGTTTTGTAGTATAAAAACTTCTTACGTTTTTTGGTCCTTTTACTCTTCATAGCTGGTTGATTAAGTATTGGGAGGCAACAATCAGTCATTGAATCTTAGTAGTAGAACGCAACACACCTATATTCTGTGTACTACAGGTCATACATTATTGGATTTTAGGGTTATGGTCAGCAGTGGAGCCTAACATACCTGCATTCTTATGATGACTTTCACACTGAAACTCGAACACAACACCCATTGCTTTACGCCCTAAAGCGTTACCTATTAAGCTGCTGAAACTGAATAACCATTAAAATGTAAAACGAACGTGATAATATTCATACGTGGCTGCACCATAACCATAGTGATATTAAGGAATCAATAATTTGTATCAACTTCTATTATCGCTCTTCACTCCGTCTGACAACGGTTGCAACTTTAACGCCACATTCTGCCATATACTACTTACAATCTTGTAAGTGATATTCACTACATCTACATTCAACAATACACGTATATAATGAAGCTTATAACTATAGGTAATATTGAGGCACCGATTGATAGTGCAGCCAATTATGAAAAGAAATAACAGAAAACATATATTTCTACGCGGAATCCAAAACACTAGGATCAATCGATGTGAATAAAAAAAGTGAATATATATCTAATCAAATGGGAATAAATTTACTTACATAAGATTTTGATGACTTATGCTTAGAAGAATTGACATATTTACTAGTAGAACATATAATTAATGTTGAACCACATATTGGTGGTAAATTATGCTTCATTGATAATTCCAAAGCGGTACTTAACGCATTTTTATACCGGTCCAACATTTTGAAATCGCAAAGCAAAAACCTTTTTACAGCACAAATACATAAAATAAGAAGTTTCTGTTTTAGATAAATAATTTTAAAGGTCATATTTTAAAATAACTATAATTTGGGTGCCCCCAAATGCCCTGGTACGGCCAAGGGTGGGGAGAGTTCGCCCTCTCTCTCCAAATGCTGTAATATGGCCACGCGTATAAAGCCTCTAACAGGGAAGTCCTACTCATTGCCTTCTCATTACATTACTGTTGTTTACGAAATTGAGTGGACGAAAAGCGAATATCCGGTGCTTTAACCGTGTTGGTGGACACGGTAAGCTCACCTAGGGGAGTTAGAAAACCCTGATTCCAAACCAATGGTGCATATGGGCTCCAGTATCCGGAGGGAACAAATGGCGTATGAACCAATCGTTGGTCACCGGCTACAATGGGACTGAATCTCCTCACGATGCTCCACTGCCTTTAGGTCAAAGGCTCCGGGTGTGGCCCTCTAAGAAAACCACCTGCTTCGGTTTGGGCACCGGGCAGTATCACAGCCCTCACACAAATCAAATGAGATTTGTGTGACGCATATGTATTTCGTGCCCCTCGGTACCAATATTTATGTGTTCAAATAAATAAATAAATAATTTGGCTCTAATGATTCAAGATTTTGTGTAATATGATTCAGTATCAAGGAATGACATGAATTTATTCACATTTTGTCAATCCCTAGGTCGTGAATTTCAAAAATATCTCATACCTACTATTTTGTAAATTTTTTCTTTGTTCTCCAATCACATTTTCGATACTTAATCTTATCACTACTACTGATGCTATTAGTATTACTGATACTGCTACTTTAATGTTCATCTTCATAATTCGATCTTGCTGTGTGCATATATATTGTAATATCTTAAACTGATCCATGTATTAGCCAAGTTCAATATTCCTTATAACTGACTGCCTTACTGATTGACTATTAAACTAACACCACAAGTATGTGATACCAAACATATTTTTAAAGCTTTCGTAAATTACAGTTTAAATGTTATTATCACAAGGGGGTTTTGTGGAGATTTTAGTAATCTTATATAGTTAAGATCATGAGTCAGTTGAAGCTAGACCACCACGGGAAACCTGAAAGCACTGAACAGCCATTTCGTCCTATTATGGGACTCCTCAGTAGTGCGCATCCACGATCCCGCCTCGCGGGATTCGAACCCAGGACATTAACACCGCTGGATGCCGGCCGGCTCAGTGGTATATCGGTTAAGGGCTCTGGCGCGGGATTGGTAGGTCCTGGGTTCGAATTTCGCGAGTGCGGGATCGTGGATGCAACTGCTGAAGAGTTCCATAATAGGACGAAACGGCCGTCCAGTGCTTTCAGGTTTTCCATGGTGGTCTAGCTTCAATTGACTCACGCTTTCAACTATGAAAATACTGAAATCTCTACAAAACCCCTTCTGATTAAAACTCATAAAAACTTTTAATTAAAAGTACGACAAATAAGAGATTTTTTATCATTAGAAAAAATAAACTGAAATCTTACTTGCCGATTCCCTTTTTCATGGACTTCTCTAACCATTCTGACTTTTTCAATTGCCTAGGTGTCGTTTTCTTACGTTTCATTATTTCTGTAACTGTGAGAACAGTAAAACAAAGACTTTGTTAAAATGAACAAGATCATAGTAAAAAAAAATAATCACAATAGTAGTGAGAACCTATAGGGATTCCCGTTATGTTAAATTTCTTACTTCAATTTTACACAATGAATTCACCAATTGAATCACTTAACGACAAAAAAATTACAATATGATATAATCAGAAGGGGTTTTGTGGATATTGTACTAATTTCAATAATTGAGATTATGAGTCAAATAAAGCTAGACCACTATGAAAAACCTGGAAGCACTGGACGGCCGTTTCGTCTTATTATTATGGGACTCCTCGGCAGTGCGCATTCACGATTCCGCACTCGCGAGATTCGAACCGAGGACCTACCAATCTCGCGCCAGAGCACTTAACCGATAAACTACTGAGCCAGCCGGCATCCAACGGTGTTAATGTCTAACTTCAACCAATCCACGAAGTTTGAGCAACCGTTCGCCAATTGTCTTCAGTGAGTTGTTATCTCACAGCAGACTTGGTTGAACTAGTGACTGACTTCAAGATACATGTCCTGAAGTTCTAGTGAGAAGCAGTGACCGGTGGAGTTCAACCACGTCTGTTGTGAGATAACAACTCACTGAAGACAATTGGTGAACGGTTGCTCAAACAATATGATATAATCCAATAGTGTTTTCAAAATATCAGAATAATATATTGTGCCGACTAGATAAAAGCGATGAACATGCATGCGAATACAGTCGTGTAGATACACTAAAGTTAATAAGCATCCATATACTATGTAGAGCAAATGGGAGACAGCCACAAAACAATATACAATGTAACTATACTTCACAAGCACACAAGTTTTATACATTTGGCTTTGAACAATACTTTAGTTGTGTGATAGTCAGTAGTACTATCGGGGTGTTATACTGAAATAGGTGACACAAGGTTCGAGCCAGTGGCCAAGTAGTTGTAAGCCGAGTGATTTAACTACTAAACTACTACGATTTATTTATTTATTTATTTAAACACATATATATTGGTACAAAAGGGCACCAGGTACATATGCGCGACACTATTTGTGTGTGTGGGCTGTGATACTGCCCGGGTGCCCAAACCGAAGCAGGTGGTTTTCTTAGGGGGCCACACCCCGAGCCTTTGACCAAAAGGTCTGATCCACAAGGCAATGGAGCATCGTGAGGAGATGCAGTCCCATGGTAGCCGTTGACCAATGACAGGTTCGTCCGCCATTCGTTCCATCAGGATACTGGAGCCCATGTGCACCATTGGTTTGGAATCAGGGTTTTTCAACTCTTCTAGGTGGACCCTCCATGTCCACCAACCCGGTTAAAGCACCGGACATTCGAGCTATTACGAATTGTTAATCAGCTAGCATGCTCTAACTTATATAGTGGCTTTAATCAATTTAGTATAACCAACATATTAATATTGAAGACTACAGTTCAATGTAATTGAAAAGCTTTAAAAGGGTGATCACTTTTAATGACAATGTAACTTTTACAGAGAATCCGATAAAATCTAAATTGATAAGGTTGAGAACTGTCAAAACACGTAGAACACTTATCTATTTCATAAGCTATCTAGTAATAAACACTACATTCGGTAAAAGTTAGGACGGGAAAGTGATGTGCAAGTGATTTAGAACGTAATTACCAGTTTATTACAATTCAAATCTAAAAAGTCATACAAGTACATATTCTGATACAACACAATTGTTAAGTACGAGTTTATCTGCTGCCCTTGTTTGTTTATACGTTGGTGATGCTAGCTGTCTTTCAAAATCAAGGTACGTTGGGTGGAGTCCGAACCAGTGACGGAATGTTTTAATCACTTAAATACAACCATGCAATACATAAATTAACTTATCTACCAGGTATTCGGATATGACGCACACGAAAAGTGTGGAAGCTAATGATACTACCCAGTTGCCCAAACCAAAGTAGCTGAAGCAGTGTGAAACTGGGACTTAGTGGCTGAATGTTGAGTGTCTTATCCATTAAAATATCGCTTAACAACTAAATAACTGTAAAAACACTTGAAAATAAATATTTACAGTGGAATCCATAGCATATGTTTCGTCCTCTTTGGGACTAGTTAGATGGATGTACCTGCATCCTTGAGTTGATGCCTACTGGGCTTGAACCCAGTATCGTTCACTCCAAATAGTATCGAGTTATCCACCTAACTACTGAATTCAGATAGCCACTAACTTGTGCAATGGGATCCAAATAACTAATACAAAGGAACTCGAAAATCAAGTTTCACAATATTTACCGATATTTGAGCATAATCATATGCTCATTTAAAAAAGGCTGACTAAACTAACTAAACTTGCTTTATACTCTGAAAAACACTAATCATTACTTACCTGTGGTACGCATTACAAATCGATGATAATATAAGTCGCGTTTTAATTTATCAATAGTATCAAAAGCCGCGAAATAACGGAATGGAAACTGTTTCCCTTCCATAATAATACGCTGTAGGCATTAAAAACAACAAAAAATATACTAATTTTCGTTGGATTTAGTGACTGATAAAAAAATGAAATTATACTTTATTCAATATAATTTGGTTTCTGATGAGAACAGTGTAAAAATCAACGACTTGATCACAGAAAATAAATGATTTGTGTATGGATAGCTCGTTGGTAAACTCTAGGAAGCCTCAAGAAGCCCAGAAAGAGCCGAAGACATTCCATCCAATCACTGCTAGGGGAATATTCTAGAATGTCGACGTGTAGCTTCCCCATTGGATGGATACAAATGACCCCCTATGTGCCTATTGGTTGTCTGAAATGATGATTTACTCTCAGTCAAAAACTATAAATACATGAGATTTCTGTACCATATTTTGACGCTATTTTGGGGAATAAAAGTTTCTACTTACTAGTCTTCTGTTTTCTCTCTTGCGACGTTGCGGGTTCTATCGTTCAAGTAGTCTAGTAGTACGCGGCATAGTAAGAACTAAAGCTCTAGATATAACAACTGGCGACGGGGATGGGATGTCTTCGGCTCTTTCTGGCCTTCTTGAGGCTTCCTAGAGTTTACCAATGAGCCATCCTTACAATTAGGTTCAAGAGTTCATTCTGTATCTAACTCTAAATCATAAGATTTGTATTGTTCCACATTCTTCGATTTCACTCTTGCCTTTCAAACTATCCATCTTTTGTTTTTTTAGATTTCCATATTCGAATGACAGTTACTATTATATCCCATTCTCTGCTTGCTAGTTTATTCCATCTGCTTCCCTGTCTCTATTCGGTTATGTGTAGTGTGACGATTTGAATCAATGTACACAATTGTACTAGATCCTATGCTGTCTATAATGAACTGACTGACAGAACCTAACCAACGAGATAACACTCATTAAATTTTCAGGATACTTTTTCAACTCCTCAACCAAAAAGGTAAACAATTTTATGCACAAAAAAATGTATAAATAAGCATTATTAGTAGGGTGTTGGAATGTTACAATTGACAACAACGGAGTCGTGAATCAGTCTATTGAGCATTTTAATTTTGATCACGAAGTCCTTTGTTTGAAGGCCAACCTACCAACTTCAGTCTGAGTAAACGAATAATAGTATCACTGGGTCACACTCGAAATCTAGTTCTAAATCGAGTGTATCAACCTGTACCTAGCTGATGGGTTAGTATTAACGACTCTAGTAATACACTCACTAATAACTTAATATTGCTTTAAAAGATGGAGATAGCTGGCCGACAATCCTAAATAAAACGTTTTTGTTACAATGTGAAATTTACTGCTTCGACATAAGATTTACCCTCATATATATAAATATATATATGGGGCGGCCAAACGAAGACGTGGCATCAGAGCTGGAAGTCATTAACTTCTAGTCTGAGCCATGTTGGTAGATGCACACTACTTGGTCGGGATCCGCGTGACTATCGTAATCAATGGTTGGAGACTGTAGGTGAGATAGCTCAGAATCGATCACAATGGTGTAGGTGTATACACTATTTATCTTCCCTTAAACCTTGAAATTAAGATTGCTTCATAACTTTCTTCCTATTCTATATGCTTATATACAACCTATCTTTTATATATTACCATCACTAAATTGACTACTTCTATGAATCCGCTGTTCATCTTTTTGTGCTAACGAGGTATGGCAACTTGGACCGATGCATATGTGTGCCTGGTCCTACGTTGTAGCTGACTGACTGATATATATATATATATATATATATATATGGTTAAGTACTACGTCAGTTACTTCGTTCTGATTCTGCCTATGGTAAACAGATGCTTTTGACAGAATAACAGTTGTCATGTTATGTAATTAGAAACAACAATGTGAGAAGAATGTTATAAAACACAAGAGTGAAATAATAAGAAAACACTCACAGGATCTGTAAGCCTCTTCAAGACTATCTCATGAATACTATCTTGAACATTGGATAGGAAAATATTTCGCAAATTTCTTAACAGTGCCATATGTGGGACTTTATTTAAAGCTATGATAGTTAATAAAAGTCAATTTATAAGATACCATGTATTTTTTTAATATACAATTATACATATACACCAAATGAAACAGACGGTTAACTCAAACGTGGGAAGATTATAGGTTAAATTATTATTAACACTTTTTAAACTATAGTTAATGCGAACCAATTTTAATACAAAGTTATACAGTACTTGGTCCTATACCTTGAGGACTATGGAAAAAATGCACGAAACCTAAGAGGATCACACTACATATACACTCTGTCCAGATACTTATAGTGAGGTAGTTTGAACCGTTAATCACATACATTAGATGAAATCTATTCATGACTAATTCTTATCAGCTAATCAGAAGGTATTTATCAGCTGAAACCACAAGACAACTTTAGTTTTTATGCAAAGAACTGACTACAAAATACAAGTTTGCCCCATTTTACTTTGTGACTAAGAAGTAATTATTGAACTCAAAAGACCTTAGAGGACCACAGGTATCTAATTATTAATTATGTTAGAAAGCCAACAACATTTGATGTAGCTAGAATTTGAACAGAACTGGAATTAAGTGTAAAGTTAGAGACAAAAAGTGTACATTAATCAATGTACGATTCCATCTAAATTAACTCAAATGATTATAATGTTATCACACTTAAATTATGTCATATGAAACAATGCAAAGTATAATGGAAGAATCTCGACGTTGCCAAACATCAGTCCATACAAACATATAGTATCTACAGACCATATACCAAAAGAGTAACTTAAATTTCAGTTCATAGAAATATACTTGAAATATGGTCAAGATTATACTTATTACTGTTGTTTAGATGCCAATGATTTAACAACAAAAATGCGTAGAAAGGAGAACACGTTAGTAGCATGATTATTTAGAATACTTATTAGCAAGAGTTTTCACTCATAAAAAGTTAAACTGGGTAACTTTGCAATTGTGTATTACATCAATCAGTATGTGTTGATTGGACAAATGGTATTTTTTTCTGGATGTAGCAACACTGAATTATTCATCCTACTGATAAAAACCGAGACTATTTTTTAAAGTTTTTTTTATTATGCTTTTCCCCAAAGGGCTAAAAGTATTTAACATACTATAAAACTTACTTATAAGTTTTGACCAAGAATCTGAATTGTTACCATTGACTGATAATTCTGTTTCCCATGTAACAGGAACAGGAAACTTCATACGTGTACCTGCTTTGGATGAATCCCAATCTCCTTCCAGTCCCATACGAATAAAATCAGTGCTATCTGATGGGTAAGGTTTTCCCAGAACGCACATAACGTTAAACTTAGGCTTTGATATATGCAATCTACGAATAAGCTCCTTTATTGTAAAATATATACGAGGTGAATGTGCCAATCTATATATAATGACATCAATATCCGTACTGACTACTGCACTATTCCGGCTTTTTTTCAGTGCCTAAAGAAGATAACGAACAAATAAATAACGAATTACCTTCGATTTTGTTGAACGATTAGCTCTTGCCCTGTGTTTGGAATGTTTAGCTGTTAAAATGAATTTAACAAATAGAAACTCATCTTACCAAGTTGGTACTGATCGAATTCAAGAAACTTTGACGTCATACTACTTCGTAAGACCTTTGGAATACCTTTCAAACTGAAATTGCCACTTATTGTCTTTAAAAAAGTTATTAAATTTATCGAACTTACTGCGTAGTATTCGGCAACCTCTATCCAGTCTGACGGTGTACGAATACACGAAGAAAAGTACTTCTTAATAAAAGATCGAGACCGCTCATTACAGCTAGCAATAGCTATTAACATATTGGTCGTTGTGCGTATATTCAACTCTCTACGGCAATACAAAGCCGCCTAAAATCTAACATTTTTTTAAATGTATAAAGTACTTTAAGTATAAATTCTGGATCTTTATCAATACAAGCGTGAATTGATTGTCCCAAAATAATCTTCTTTTCTTTAGATGGACTGCCATCGACTATAGAAGAGGATATACAGCTAATTAACCCTAGCTGTAAGTTTGAATATATTAGAGAATGTATAGTCACATACTTTTAGTTGTTTGTAGGTATCTCCGCGTTCGTATGTCAGTAAATCACCAAATGTATTATGAATAGGATTGCTTTTAATAGAATCCCCAACCGTACATTCTAGTATATCTTGAAAACTAGTATCTGAAATTTTGATTATAGCGTCTTTTAACCAGTCAATAGGGGTTGATTTAAGTGGACTGGCATCACTTGTTTGTTTCGCCTCATGATGTTTACCATTAGGTCTGATTGTTTCTTTATGATCACAATGTAGGACTGAACCTGTATATGAAAGACTGATGGATGATTTTAATGACTCGTTATTTAATGAGAGCGAAGAAAGTGTACTGGAAGCTGAAGACGTTTTGGCAAAAGGTTCATCTAAAAGTTTGTTTTTCACTAAGTTCTTCCCTTCCAAATATACAGGTGATAACAATGAAGAAGGTCCTTGAAGATATCCAGATTCATGATCCATTCTCATAAATTACAAGTACATCGGATTGTAATATAACCTTTACTATGAACTAATTGTTGTTAACTTAAAATGATGGGGACCATGAAAATTAACCGGAACACAGTAGGTCAGATTCTGAAAAACAAGAACAATAAAAAGAGAGTAAAATTGACGAAAACACAGCATATTTATTTATTCATTTTAATACATAAATATTGGTACAAGGGGGCACTACATACATATGCGCCACACAATAACAATGAGAATGGCAAGAGACAATGAGTGTAAAGTGCGTATAAAAAAAAGAACAATAACGATCACAAATCAGTGTACGCTAGTGAAAAAATAATAGCAATGGGAGAAACAGAAAAGTACAATGAGAAAGGATTCTTTCAGTCAAAGAAGTTATGGTCACTTTATATGAGGAAAGTAAAAAAAGGTCATAGCAGGATCGCCACTGGCTTCTATTCTGAGCCATATCTGATAACGTATATAGGGTTTCTAGGATGTTAATAAACTTTTCAGGCATACCCTTCTTCAATAAACAATCCAGAGGAAAGTCCTACCCAACGAATCGAGGGCAGCCCTAATATCAAGGAACACCATGATTATTGGCCTGTGATAAATATGACGGTGTTCTAACATTTGGCGGAGGGTGAAGATATGATCAATACGTCCTCAACCAGAACGAAAACCAGCCTGTTCTTCGCGAGTCAATCTTTCACGGGTTTTGAACAACCTACGAAGTATGACAGAAGCCAATAAATCGGACGCAATCTGAGCACCGACCGTTGCTGCTACCTTGACGTGGTGGTCGGGCTTGCCTATCGCGGTGAACCAATAGAGCTATACTGGATGGAACAATCGTTCCTCAAGGTCCTACCATGCCAGGTAGAGCCGTTGAAGAGCGGTAAGACTAAAAGCAGCAAACCCAAGGACCGAAGGCGAAGTCGTACTGATGACTGTACAGAGGTATGACAGCAGTAAGGTGTTTTCTTCAGACAACCAGCATAACGACGATGCTGCCTTCCCACAAGGAGGTGTGGGGTTAGAAAAGGTCGACCCAAAAAGTGCACACCTAGCCTTACCCCACGGACTTCCGTCTCCGACGGTACGGTCCTTTGAAGAACGGAGCTAACATGTCAAAAATCCACCACAAAAAGGTCGTGCATGACCGGCCTCAAGCAGTTGTCCATTGGGCACTGCGGTCACGCTCTCAAGTTTTTAAGACCACTTCTAACCCAATTTCCTTTTCGGGTACCTCGAGAAGACTGAGGTCATCTGGGCTCGGTGATTTCTAGAGTTTCAAGTGTTGGAATTCCTCGTGGACTTCCGCCTCATTTGGTGGATCAGTTGTTACAGGCCATGAAGGGAACGACAGTCTAGTCGATGTTGATGGAGCAGTAGGCCAGTTGAATTGCCCTTCGAAGAACTCTGCCCATCGTCCGAGATGTCGATGTTACTGATTGGCATCCTATCATCCTCACAGATTGTTTCGCTCAGACAAGACTTCTTGCTGCCAGTGGCTCGGATGAGTAGTAAGAACTTCCGGTAGTTGCTAGATGCAGCTGCTGCTTCCAACTCATTAGCGCGCTTTGACCACCAGGCTTCTCGGTCTTTACACATGCTTTGTCCAATTTCATTACGTAACAGCCTTTGTTTGTGGCCAAACTCACAGTCACCCGGAGTAAACCGACGGGTTTCGACGAGTTGTAAGGAGCCTGGAGAAACACAGTACTTATAAGCGTCATGCGATTGCACCCAATGCTCATCTATACTTTATGGTGGGATGGTAGCTAGCCTAAAACATAGCTCGGTTTGATACTTAGTCGCAACAGAAGCTGCAATCAATTTACTGAAATCAATCCGTTTAGGACGATGAATTCGTTGGTCACTGAAAAGTAAGGTAAGATTGGTGCAAACAAGGGCATGATCAACGTCCGAATAGGTGCTGCAAAAGGAGCGGCAGTCTTGTACACAACCGCGCCAGCAGTAGGCGACCGCGATGTGATCAATCTGAGTTCAGGCTTGAGATGTAGAGGGAGGACGCCAGGTGGCATATTGGCGATGAATATGCCGGAAGTTAGTGCTAGCCAGAAACAAGTTTTGGTCTGCACACAGTTGCAGTGAACGACCCCCGATATCTGACCTGCGACCAAAGTCCCCATCGGTCACCTAAACGACTCTCTTCTGTGCCTAGACACCCGACCTGAGCATTCAGTTCTGTCGGACACACTTTCTGAAAAAGAACAGTTAACTGGTGGTAAAATGTATCCTTGATCGCATATATTCAACAAGACCTAAGTAAGTAGGCCTGTACATACTGATCTGGATATTTTCATCCAAACCATCAATAAAAATCTTAAACAGAGAAAACTGAGAATTTACTGATTGATTGACAGTATACTACAATCTTTGACCCGTTTCTTTTTTTAAGAAAAACGTGTACCCACTGATGAAAATTTTATTTAAAAAAAGCAAATAATAGTTTGAATGTTCATATGAAGTATAAATATGTTAAACACAAGGTAGTGTGATTACAATAATCATTATACCACCAAAAACCGATCGTAAATATAGATGCTATCAATTACTTTGATTGCATCGTTCCCTTAGTAGTTATATTCTTTTACGCGGAAACGTCAGGAATGAAATCTAGTTAAGCAATCATAAGGTCTGCCAACTGGCGCTAACTTGCGAAGTTAGCGTAACTGATGACTAGTCATTCACAAAAAAATGAAAACAGTCACTACTTGACTGTGAATGGATTTAAAATATTATCAGCAACTCATAAGGCTACAAGTTTAAAAGTGCAGCACTATAATCAAATTCAGTGGGTTTTAACAATAAAACTATCAGTCTGTCGAGCAAAGTGAATACATGCAGTTTTATGAACGTCATTTAAGCACCTGTTAAGGCAGTGAATACCGCACTAAAGTGCAACTGAAGTGAAAAAGGATAACATGATGTGAAATATTAATTACTACTGACGTCGCTAATGATGCAATGACTATAGTTATCATTGTCTTTCCTATTTAAGTTACTAGTAATATTTTGAAGTATTATTTTCCATAGAAATAAATTAAACTAAAAGCGAGATAAAAATTATTCTCATTAAAAAGCTAACTAGATCTATGGAGTTCACAAGCTAATTTAAAAGGCTCTGAGCCTCATCAACTGGTGTACTTTCATTGCCAAAATTACCAGTCCCGATATCACTACCTTGGAGAAATCTTGCGGTTTTTCTAAAACTTTGAGGAATTTTCACAAGCCTTAGAAAATTTTAGGGATTTTGTGACGTTTCCTTAAAGTTGTTTATGGTGGTTTCCCCAAAATAGGAAGATCGGGGTACTATAAGCAATTGTAGGCATGTGTGTTACAAACCATAATTAGTTCTGCATAATCTTAAGTTTGGCTCAGTGAAGGCTGAACACCAATATTACTAAAAAAGGACTGAATGTAACTAACTTTGTAGGAAGCAGTTAGAAACCCAGAACAACGAAGTTTGATGTGTGTAAGACCAATTACAAAACCATGAAGTGACTTAAGAATGTTAGTTGACCTTCAAAATAAGGAAACAAAACAAACCAAACCTCGAAATTCAAAGTTTGTTAAAGAGAGTTGATGAACTTCAGTTTTTCAAGATTTGCACCCTGGTAGTAGTAAAATATTGCAATAAAGATGGAGAGTTATTCAATATCCCCAATCTTAGTAACGAGTTTACACAAACCGATCGAATAATTTGCGCTCGCTTCTTGTTGTTTCAGTACAGTTCCAGGTGTTTGACGATATCTAAAGAGGGATGATCCAGTCACTTGATTACACTATTCCCTGTCAACTTAAAAATTAATTGTAGGTTCATGCACCTCGTATTCTCAGTGAGTATGTTTGCCTCAGAACAGCTGGATTTCTGGAGCCAGCAGATATCACAATACCAGGTAGCAGATTAGTTTCAATGTAAAATTTAGTAGAAAGACAATTTAAATTTTTCATATTCACTCCGCAAACTGAAGGACAAAACGAACAAGCGAGTATTACCAGTGATAGAGATGTAAAATGTAGTGTAATCCCCCTTAACACTCACAGAATTGAGATAATCATTGAGCCTTGTTTTCAAAGACTTGTCAAAACATTCCATCACTTCGATTTCTTGTAGGCAGTTTCATGAATTATTGTTTAGAATGGCGAGAAAGTCCACACAAACTTTTATTCGAACTCATTCGTGCTTTTTCATTAGCGGATGTCCTCATGAGTCTGATAGATCACTGAATTTTGCAGACGGTCCAACGGGGTGGGTGTAATCGTGAATAATATGATACCTCATGATTAGTTGCCTGTTTATCATCCTATATTACGTTACTTTAAACCGATGGCTTACTAAAAGGATGGGTATTATGTACTTTTATTCCGGGTACCTTCTTTCAATAATTTCCAAGAGAATAAAATTCTTCTTATAGTAGGGAGACGTGGTCCAAGATTTTCTTCTCCTAAATGAGTATGAGATGAACATGTTTCGGAAGGATTCTGAGGTCAGTTTGTGGGACTTGTATTCGTCTTTCTTATTGAAGTGAACAAGAGGATTTTAAGATGTTGGTGACCTGCGTTATTACATAACAACGGGGAGCAGTTAGAAAAGGAGCAGCTTGTAGTGACCGGCTTGTCTCGATAAGAACACGATTGGAATAATAGAAACAATTATTATTATTGTAACCAATCGTACCAGCGATTGTTTTACTGTACTTGTTTGACTGTGTCAGACTCACTTCTGGTTCCGCTATCCGCCTTGCTTGGTTCGAACTTTCTTACGCTCTGCCCATTTTGCCTGTACTCGTTGGCACATCTCGGTATTCTTTCGATACTACGAGATCGCCAATAAAAATACTTTATCTGGACTAATTAAAGCCTTCTGGTTTGCGAGTTATCAAAGGGACCAAGTCGTTTCTGGGCGCGTAATCGAATTGTAGTGGTGATCATAGTCCGTCCTCGACTAGACGCCTACTACAAACTAAATGAAACGGATATTTCACCGTTCATTACGGGAAAGTAGGAAATGTAGTCCCTACACAAAGCAAGGAAGCAAATAACCAATTTGGATTTGATGTTGAAATCTTAATAGAAGGCCATCAGCTAGCCCTTATTCATTTAGCCTAGGCTCCTAAAGGACTGCTTAATATCCTCTAAATAAGCCACAAAAGTCAGTAGGCTTAGCTGGTCTCAAAATGTCAATGTGCATAACCATCAATAGTATCATAAAGAGTGATCACCAAGCCATTTTCAGCGTTGCAAAGAATGGTACTAGAATCTCTCAAATGACACAATGTGGATAAAATATCACTCTTCATTTACTTGTATTGAGTGAAGATAGGTTCCCAATAGTCTATTTGTATACAAGATGTCTTCTTCGAAGTCAATGTGTCATCCGGATCAAGTATTTCTGATACATTCTTAATATCAACTTTTTTAGTAACCTAGGAGAGTTCAGATAATTATTTCAGCCATTCATTAACAATGAGGATTTCGGTTGTTCAAGAAATGAGCATCCTGGCACTCTGTCTGTTATTATAAATTAACTTGTTGGAGTACAACAAACTGTAACAGATCCTAATCTCCCTTTCAGATAGTCTAATGGCTAAATAAATATTCACTTATAGAAAGGTAATTTTGTTTCCGGTAAAGAACGCAGTGTTCTGTCCTAAGGAAAACCTCATAAAAACTAGGAGTCCCAAATGTAACTCAGCGTTGTGTTCCAGTGAGTGTCCAGCCCCTCCAGGTATTCAGTAGATTTTTATCACACTGTATTTCTAAGCGAAAACCACACTAGGAATCAACAAACATAAAGCTAGTGTTCAGATAATGACGAAGGAATTCATGACCATAATAAAGAAAACGTAATCAGTCGGTAATTTTAAGATTTCGCCTCAGAATTTCAATGATGCTTGAGGGGTCCAAACTCCACGCTATTTAAATTTCCGTAGAAATGGGTTGGGAAGTAATTTGCAGGCAGAGACATGTCATGGAATCCTCTAGTTTTAGTCTGATCACCTCATTATGATGGCCAAATATTATTAAAGAATATCGCCCCAGAATATTAATCGAGATACGTACCCTTTTTTCACTAAGTCAAGAAAAAGCTCGTTACTCGTTTCCATATCCCTCATCATATGAGAATTATAGATTATTCTATGTCAATTGGCTTTTTAATCCAAAATACCACATCGTGTGAACAGTTGTCTGTGTTGTTGAAGAAACTTCATTTGTTTCTGGCGAAAAGCCTACTCCTGTTGAGCTAAAAAGTACTAGAATCTAGCTAGAGAAATGACCCAGTCAGTTTTACAAAAACCAATCAACGAACTGGAGGAGAGTGTCTTTAGGATGATTCTTCTGCGTCAATGTGATTACATTCGCCTCTCCACAATAACTTCGAGGTCTGATATAACTGCCCAGATAATTGTTTACTTAGTCATTGGCGTGCACTGAGCATTAATTACCAACCGCCTGAGTTTCCATAATAAGTTCATAATGGAAACAGTTATTATAATGACCAACTATACCAGTGATTGTTTTACTGCACCTGTTTGTTTAAGTGTACCAAAATCACTCTCCGACTGTTTGTGACCTTACACGAACTCCACTACGCTCGATAGTCTGGCTTGCGGATTTTGACACGATTTCGGTAATGTTTCGATACCACGAGATCTCCAACAAATACATCTTACAACAACCTTCGACTGGCTTCTGATGTTTGGCCTTTAGGTGGCTGTAATCTAGCAACTGGCACGTAGTTTTAATGTGGTGGTGATCATATTCAACCGCGACTCGTCGCCTACTACAGGATGCACCAACCTCAAAAATAGTATAACGGTCTGTTGCAATACTTGTCGCCGAGAGCCCTAGAACTACAGGTCAAAGATTTTATAAACTGTACGGAAATCTCACTTTGTGACACATCAAACGTAGGAATCATCCAATCGTGCAGACATATTTTCGTCCCAACGTTGAACACATTATACAATTTGTCACATCTAAGTGTTGAAACAAACACCAAGTTCATTACTGAATGGCTTTATCTGTCTGGCATGAATAAGGACACAAAGAAGTGGGTACACTTATGTGTAAGATATCAAAAATATGATGTGAATAGACATAATCACTGTCACTAAGAATCAGCTATAACCCTTGGTGCTCGCATCGACCGTATTGACCTTAATTTGAGAAATGCCTCGTCAGAATGGTATTGATACTATTATATCAAAAACTCGTAGACCACCTTGCCTGGTGACCAGAAACAATTACTATTAGTGGCATTATTGTTAGAACGATGGTCTACTCCTTCGACGAGCAAGGAAACCTAAAGGTCGGTTGACCTTTGAATATTAATACTAGTACTAATAATACTAGTACGGAAAGTGGACGCCTGATAAAAACCAAACTCTTGTGCTCATGCTGAAGTCTCAGGGGTGATGCCATCCTGAACGATAACGATAAACAACCAGTTAAAATCTAATATTTCAGTAGAGCGATTACACAAAGTTAGAATTTTCCGTTTCAGATGTAGACATATGAAAACGGACTAACGCACTTCCATTTGTTTCATTCGAAATACAGAATGCAGTAAAAGCCGATGCTGGGTGCAGTCGAACTTGCAGATAGTATAACACTATGACTTCCAGAATTCACTGATCTTTCATCTCCACTGAGTGTGAATGTCAACTCCAATACATTATATATCTAATTAAACTTGCCTCAACCCGACGTCAATCAAATGACGTTTACGCCCAACCCACCTTAAGATATAAAACACACATCAAAGCAGCCTATGAAGAACCATACACAGTTTTTGTTTAAAAAAACCGCAAAACCAAAGTGTTTTCATGAAGCTTATGTATGTACATTTTCTTCATATAAAGGCCAAATAAAGGAGTGAATTACAATGAATGCTATCCAGTGTTATGCACCCACCAATAACATCAACGACGAAGATAACGATCAGTTCTATGAGAGGCTGCAATCGATCATAGAAAACTTCCCTGAAAAAGACCTAACCACTCTGATGCGAGACCTAAACACCAAAGTCATAACGGACAACACCAGATATGACGATATCATGGGACAACATAGACTTAGGACTAGGAGAAAGGAACGAGAATGGTGACAGGTCTGCAAATTTATGTATATTCAACAAAATGATTATGTGCGGCACAATATTCCCACACAAACCCATACACAAAGCTACATGGATCTCACCGGATCACACTACATAGAACCAGATAGACCATACTTGCATCAATAAAAAAAAATTCAGAAGATTAATAGAGGACATGAGAATCAGGAGAGAAACAAACATAGCTCCACATCATCACCTGGTGGTCGCCAAGATGAAACTGAAGCAAAGAAGTACTGGGCGACTGGGGAAACAGCACTACAAAGGTTCAATACAGTCTTTCTTCGAGATACTCGCAACCTAAACGAATTCAAAATAGATCCCAGAAACGGGTTCCAAGCCTTAAAAGGTCTACACAAAGAAGAAATTTACGATGGAAGACAACTGGAAAGCTATCAAAGTAGCACTGACTTCAACATGTTAGGAGGTTCTGGGCTGCAAGCAACATCATCATAAGGAATAGATCTTTATCAAAACTAGGGTCAAGATTCGAGAAAAGAAAGACAACAAGGCAGTAGCGATAAAGAAAAAGCTGTAAGAGAAGGAAATGTGAGACAACTATGTGAAACAACGAAAAAACTAGCAGGAAAATATAGTAAACCAGAGAGGCTGGTCAAGGATAACGAAGGCAAGCAAATGACTTAAATTCGAGGACAAAGAAACAGGTGAGTAGAACATTTCGAAGAACTCTTGAACAGACCAGCTCCACTGATTTCACTTAACATCAAAGCCACACACACAGACATTTTTTATAGATTTCACTCCAAGAACGATCGAAGTAACCACGATGGCCATCAGACAAATCAAGAGTAAGAAAGCAGTAGGACTTGACAATATACCAGCTGAAGCAATTAAGGAGACATAGAAGTAACTGAAAACACGCTCCGCGCTCTATTCAAAAAGACTTGGGAGTAAGAACAAGTGCCACTGACGGACTAGAAAGTGGGATACTTCATCAAAATACCAAAGAAAGGAGAACTAAGTAGATTTGAGAACTACAGATGCATTACACTACTATCGGTACCAGGAAAAGTTTTCAATAGAGTGTTGCTGAGTCGGTTGAAAAATTCATTAGATGCCCAACTTCGAGATCAACATACTGGATTCCGTAAGGGTCGGTCGTGTACAGACCGAATTGCGACATTACGGGTTATTGTTGAAGAATCGATTGAATGCAACTCATCACTATACATCAACTACCTTGACTATGAAAAAGCATTCGGCAGTGTGGATAGGAGGACCTTATGAAAACTTCTTCGACACCATGGTGTACCTGAGAAGATTGTCAATATCATTCGGAATTCATACGATGAACTGCAGCGAAAAGTGGTGCATGGAAGACAGTCGACAGATGCACTCCATGTGAGGACTGGAGTCAGACAAGACTGCTTATTTACCCTCTTTCTTTTTATTCTGGTGGTTGACTAGATTATGAAGACCTCGACATCTGAGGTGCAGCGTGGAATACAATGGACATCTCAAAATCAATTAGGATATTTAGACTTGGTAGATGGCCTAGCCATCCTATACAATACACGCGAACAAATGCAGATGAACACAACTAGTGTAGCTGCAACCTCTGAATCAGTAGGCCTCAACATACAGAAAAGAAAAGGCGAGATCCTCAAATAAAACATATGGAACTGAAAACAACTGTCAAACAAAATCAAAGTCACAATCTTCTTTACGAACGTCAACACAGTCCTACTGTATGGAGCTGAAACGTGGAGAACTACTAAAACTACCACCAAAAAGGTACAAGTATTTATAAACAGTTGTCTATGCAAGATACTGAGTGTCCGTTGACCGGATACCGACGTCAGTGACCTACTGTGACAAAGGATAAACCAGCTAGGAAAAGACATTGAAGTTGGATAGGACATACGTTGCGGAATCCATCAAACTGTATCACGAGACAAGCGCTAACTTGGAATCCTGATACCAAAAGGATTATGAGGAAGACCCAAGAACACATTGTGCCAGGAATTGGTAGGAGATATCAAAAGAGTGAGTAGTAATAGTAAACAACTGAGACGGGTTGCCCAGGACACAGCTGGATGGAGAATACTGTTGGGAGGCCTACACTCCTCTAATAGGGGTAACAGACATAAGTAAGCAGTAAGTTTCTTTTTAAGGTCGACTGGAAAATATGAAAAAAGCAAACATGAAATCGAAAAATCTAGTTATTTTTTAATATTGGTTGCTCACTCTACGACTCCTTGGATTTAGAAAAGGTGACCAGACTCAAACTTTCATAACAGTATTCACTAGGGATAAATCCATTGGGTTTCAATTTCTGACTGCTCAAGTCTTACAGTCCTAACCACCTCTATGGGGCGAGAAAAGCTGTAGTGTTATACAAGTTAACAAAATAAATAAATCTGTAGGTCTTCAGCATTGGTGCTAGCTTTATTTGTTTTACTGAACCCATTCCTACAGTAAGATTTTCGGTCAAGCATTCACAGTAGAATAAGTTAGAACATTCTGTGCTCTTCATCTACCTTAAAAGTTATACAGAATAATATTATGTGTAGCCTTCAATTAAGAAATAGAGTCAGATCTGTCCACAATCTACTCTAGTAATTATAAATAAACCAGCATGAAAATACTATGGAAACTTATGAGTAAATTGTATTACATAAGAACAAATTCGATACTTAAGCACATAGGATTTATTGATCAGAACAAACACCACAACAGTCCCAACTTAAAAAGTACTGTGTTTTCCGATGAAAATTTTGTATTAGTTGTTTGAATCCTTCCTGTGTCTTATTGGCATATGTGCATCATAAGCGGATTGTCTCCTCTTCCTCAATTCTTAAAATTTTATAAACGAGATTATAACAAGAAAAAATGGAAGGATCCACATCAAGTTAAATTATCAACAAAAAAAGAAAAAATAGAAAAGTAAACACGCTAACGATCTGGATTTGATTTTCGGTGTACTGTTGGCACAAGTTTTCTTACAAAGTAAAATAATCAAAGTTTATTATTATTATTATTATTATTATTACTAGTCGTAGTCGTAGTCGTAGTCGTAGTCGTAGTCGTAGTCGTAGTCGTAGTCGTAGTCGTAGTCGTAGTCGTAGTCGTAGTCGTAGTCGTAGTCGTAGTCGTAGTCGTAGTCGTAGTAGTAGTCGTAGTCGTAGTCGTAGTCGTAGTTGTAATCGTAGTCGTAGTCGTAGTTGTAGTCGTAGTAGTAGTAGTAGTAGTAGTAGTAGTAGTAGTAGTAGTAGTAGTAGTAGTAGTAGTAGTAGTAGTAGTAGTAGTAGTAGTAGTAGTAGTAGTAGTAGTAGTTCCCATTCTATGTGAGTTTGATGAGCGAGAACTGGAAAGTAGTTTCAAACTACGGAGAAATAACCATCCATTACTACTAGATCTTATTGTTATTGAAAAATAACTTTAACTTATACCAAAGTCTGCATAAAATGTTTTTGTTTTAACGATGATTGTCTTAACCTCCAGCTCTAGACTTAAATAATAACATTATAAGTAATAATATTCCTTGGAGAGAAGAGACTACTTTCAGTTCACTATCATATTTAGTCCATGAATCAGATTAGATAGTTGAAAGTTATTTGTCAATGTATTGCTTCGATTTACACGAAGCTGTAATAAAAGTTTCATTAATAATTAAATATTACTGATAAGTAGTTAAAACCGTTTTCAGAACGATTTTTCACAAGCAATAAGGATAAGTAAGTATAACTGGAATCAGATGGGGTTTTGTAGAGATTTCAGTATTTTCATAGTTGAAATCATGAGTCGATTGAAGCTAGACCACCATGGAAAACCTGGAAGCACTGGAACATTATACATTAAAATAAATTATTCAAGTTACGTCAAAATGCTCATTTGAAGGATAAGATTTTAGAATCCGCCGTAGAGAAGATAACCCAATCTCTCCGAAATTACAATGATAATGATAACTGAGAATTGAATAGTCAGTTTCTCTGAAAAACATTCTGGTTTTCTTAAGATTACTTCTACTCATTCATTACTACAGATCATCTTATTCCATTACAATATTTAAATGATCAATATTCATTACTGTGACAATAAAACAACTATCATTGTCTATTTAGACAAAGTTATCAAGAAAGAAATGGGAAATAGTTGTGTACTTTCTTCGGTTGAGTTGTACACACAAAATCGTCATATTCCATTATAATGTGGATGATATTTTGTAAACTTTGTTATCCTATCATCTTTTGTCTAAGTTGAAAAATATCCGATTACCTCGCAAGATATTACCGCCAGTGTGACCTCACAGAAGAATAAATATAAATTATTTGTATCTATCTATTCTACTTAATAAAAAATATATATAACCATATATGTATAATGTCCCAATGAGCATAGGGTTGTGGAGATTGTAGAGTTTAGATTAATATCCTGAATGGACCAATGTTAGACCACTACTGAGAACTTGAAAGCACTGAAAGGCCGTTTCGTCCTAGTGTGGGACTCTTCAGTAGTGCCCATCCACAATCCCTCTATCTGGACTCAAACGCAGGACCTTCAGTCTCGCACATGATGGTTACATAAATTAGAATTTTGCAATTAAGCGGATGAAGAAAAGCTAATAAGCACTCCTGACTGATTAAAAAAAAGATATTCAACTTAGCTGAGACTCAACTAAGTAACCAAACAAGTAATCTTATATTACCAGAAGGGGTTTTTATGGAGATTTCAGTAATTTTATAGTTGAATTCGCGGGGCGGGATCGTGGATGCGCACTGCTGTGGAGTCCCACAAAAGGATGAAACAGCCGTACAGTACACCTAGGTTTTCCATGGTGGTCTAGCTTCAATTGACTCATGAATTCAACTATGAAATCTTATATCAGCACAAAACTCAAGTCATTGTTTTATTTCCGATCACTTTCACTTAACTAACCTCAACCATAGTGCTTTACTACGTTTAGTGATTTAAACTTCTAACCACATTTTAACTTGACTGACAAAACCCATTCAGGACCTAGTGAAAACATTCAATACTACTCAGTAATTAAAAAGTTCATATTATAAAATCATCTGTTTACTTATCATTTGTAGCTTGATCTTCAGTGTTACTATAGTTATATACAATATTTTTGTTTGTATATGACACCGATTATATAAACCTTGGTACAATTGAACAAGAAAGATGAAGTTTTGAAATGAAAAAGAGAAAGAAATTGTAATGCACTATATTAAGGGAAATAATAATTTCTGGATAAATATTGATGAGGAATCCCATAATAGGACGAAACGGCCGTCGAGTGCTTCCACATTTTTCATGGTGCTCCAGCTTCAATTGACTCATGATATCAACTATTAAAAATTAATACAATATCCACAAAAAACCTTTCTGATATTAATCAAATACTATTATCTCTGTTCAAATTAACATGTGATATAAACTTATTTGAGCTACTGGAATATAAAACTAACTTAAGCTTAATTACTTTTCATTCGTTATACACATCAAACTAGACTTTCATATGTAACAAAAATTTAGGTTTTTGTTAGTATAAAGTTGTGGAAATTGTTAAATTTCATTGAAATCACAAACTGATTCAAATTACTTACCTACTTACTTACTTACTTACGCCTGTTAACCCTCGTGGAGGAGCATAGACCGCCCACCAGAATTCTCCATCCAACCCTGTCCTGAGTAATCCTTTCCACCTCTTTCCAGTTGTTATTCTTCCTTTTCATATCTGCTTCTATTTCTAGGCGTAATGTGTTCTTTAGAATTCCACTTTTCGGCTTCCCTTCAAGATTCCAAGTTAGCGCTTGCCTCGTGACACAGTTTGGTGATTTCCTTAATGTATGTCCTATCCACTTCCAACGTCTTCTCCTAAATTCCTCTTCAGCTGCAAGCTGGTTTGCCCTCTCCCATAAAACGCTGTTGCTGATAGTATCCGGCCAATGAATGTTGGGTATTTTGCGTAGACAACTGTTTATAAATACTTGCACCTTCTTGACGATGGATGTAGTAGTTCTCCACGTTTCAGCTCCGTACAGTAGGACTGTGTTGACATTCGTATTGAAGATTCTCACTTTGAAGTTAGTTGACAGTTGTTTTGAGTTCCATATGTTCTTCGATTGTAGGAATGCGGTCCTAGATTTGCCGATCCTCGCCTTTACATCTGCATCCGATCCTCCTTGTTTATCAATGACGCTTCCCAGGTACTTGAATATATCCACTTCTTCCAAAGTTTCTCCACCAAGTGTGACTGGGTTAGTGTTCTCCTTGTTGTGTTTGACAATCTTGCTCTTTAATTTGTGTATGTTGAGGCCTATTGATGCAGTGACTGCTGCTACATTTGCTGCCTTCGTCTCTAATTGTTCGTGTGTATGAGATAGGAGGGCTAGATCATCTGCGAAGTCCAAATCATCTCATTGTCTCTGGGATGTCCACTGTATCCCGTGCTTCCTTCATGATCTAGTCAATCATCAGGATACAAGTTAGAAAACGTTTATTAACTTGAAAGTATTGAATTGTCATTTTTCTTTCAAATGTTATTAAATATTGATGTATATATAAGCTGGCTTCTATAAAAATTTCTTTCATTTAATAAATACCAAAACTAAGATCCCCTTTTCATCTGTTTAACGCCCTTTTATCATTGTATACCTATTTACTTGTGAAAATCTTTCATCTTCACCATTTTGAAAGTAATTCATCAATGAGATTTCTATTACATTTAACCTTTTGTATATCTTCAACACAAGTCAGATGATTAATAGAATAAATTTCAAAATTAAACAAACTTTTTTTGGACTTCTTTAGATGATCAATACACTAGTTTTTCATTATTCCTCTGTATTAATTTGTCAATGTAGAATATACTACTGACAAAACAACTAGCATCTTTATTATTAAATAACTGTTTTTATCAGAAGAGGGTTTTGTGGATATTATAGTAATTTTATATAGTTGAGATCATGAGTCAATTGAAGCTAGACCAACATGGAAAACCTGGAAGCACTGCTTGATGGCCAACTCGTGCTATTATGGGACTCCTCAGCAGTGCGCATCCACCATCCCGCCTCACGAGATTCGAACCCAGGACCTATCAGTCTCGCGCTAGAGCACTTAAGCGATAGACCAATCAGTAGGACGGCATCCAACGGTGTAAATGTTTAACTTCAACCGATCCATGAAATTGAGCATCCATTTACCAATTGTCTTCAGCGAGGTGATATCTCCCAACAGACTACCAAGGAGTCCCATAATAGGACGAAACGGCCGTACAGTGCTTCCAGGTTTTCCATGGTGGTCTAGCTTCAATTAAATTATGATCTGAACTGTTTTACTCATTAACGTTATTATTCGTTGACAGACTTATTAATTATATTACTTCTATGAATAGTTAGTGTAAAATACTTAAACATCGTTAATCTATTTATACCTTCTACCATTTTCTCCCTACCACACTAATCACCAACTTTCACTTGAAAGTAAAAAAAAACGAAGGGAGACATCTTAGAAATAATGAAGAAAGATGATTTGATTATTGATATACAATCAAAATTAGTTTTTCATTCTGTCTAGTTGTTCTCTTAATTGAATAAGCTGTCCACAATAATAACATGGATGTTATTATGATTATTATGTTTTGAGCCTTCTGAATAAATGTTACTTGGGTTCATCTTTCATTATTTACAGAATCAAGACTATGAGATCTCAGATCTGATCTAATTTCTAATTATATTACTCTGTACAATCAGTTATCAGTATCATTTATATAGTGTGTGTGAAATGTAAAAAGAAAGAACAAGTGTTAATTAACAAATGATTGATTATACAGTAGGTATTATTTTGTCATAGAAGTAGGTTAGTAACAGTATAATAATGAGATAAGTTCACCTGTTTACCTATCTGTTATTGTAATTATCTACTGATAGTATGTATTGAATGAGGACAGAAGTGGGGACGATCGAATGTATTCGAACACAAAATTATAAAATTTCTTAGTAAAATCTGAAAACTGTACAGTAAATACTTCGGTTGAAAATTGTTAGTCAATCGTTACAGGCTTCATTGTTCCTTCATTCCCACACCAATTATTCTCCGTTCTCTCTCACTTTTCTTCGACCTTCTTAACCTACTGTCTCCAGGCAGTAGCAAAACACCACAAATGTAGTGAACGAACACACAGATAGGAAAACAGAGTGTGTTCATAAAATATGAAAAACCATACATTAAATAATTAATTTGCACATTTTCCGTCAATTTTCTCTTACAAACTTCAATGTTCCTTCATTCCTGTTGTTATCTTCACTGCTTTCAATTTTTTTTTCTTTTTTCTC